CGGAAAATCGACAGATCCGTTTGCATCAGGAGGTGGAGATCTGACCCCAGCGAATGTATGAATCGAGAAGATAATCGATGGTTTGAATTGCTGTATTGGAATCAACTGTCTTCATTAACGAATCATAGCCACTCAGTCAAGCGATTGTCCAGTAATGCCAGTATCAATGAAACAGTTTGAATCAAATCAATTATGCATGATAAATATCAACATCTTCAAATCAATTAATCGTCTACCTTCATCTTATTTATTATTCATCGTACCATCATAACCTATCTGTGATATATTTATTATCCTCATCTTCCATTGAAACGGTCAACGATTAATTGTGTTTAAATTAGTGAAAGAATTCTTGCCACCATCGTCATATCGACCACAGCCAACTGTATTTCAGAAGTGAACAAATGAATCAACAGGTATCAGACGATGTTTCATGCTTAATCTGGTGGATCAACCAACAGCATTATTATTTATCATTTCATTACGGAACAATTATCATCGATTCATCACCATATCATTGACAATCAGATACAACAGATCATCAACATCGCTTTACTGAAGGACTCATTGTACACACAAACACAGTGATGGCAACACAGTGACAGACGAACATACACACAGGACACAACATACCAATGATATACCAGGTTCACAGCTTCAGGGTGGCCCCTAAACAGCCGCGACTCCAGTACGCACTAACTTTTTTCGAATCGTTTTTAACCACCAATCGTATTCCAAACAACTTCAGCATGGTTCTAATCATCGAAAATAACCGGTTTTCATCACTGGCTGGTACTGGCTTTCATGCAGCTGGTCATTCGTTTTGACAACCGGACACCACTGGTTTCCATGGTGACCATTACTGGCATCGATTATGAACTGTCCCGCCGGATGACTTCGCTCCACCAAAATTGGCTCATTTACACAAACAACAATAACTGCCGGATGATCTTATGAACCGTAATGTGGCTCACTTTACGGAGAGGGCAAACGATTTTCCACGGTTCGCTGAGTCGTGTATCACTCTTGCTCCGGCCTTCTCTATGCCTCTGTCAGACTAAGCCGGTACACACAATACAGATACACACAGGATACAGAAGCGGAAGCAGGTGATTGATTGATTTAAAACCTTGCGGCGTTTATTGTATTACGGCACACACAAATGCATGTTACTACACACACACTAGACACACTTTTGTATCCTGGCTGGTATCTTCATGTCATCATCAATCATCGCCAAATACCAACGGAATTACCAGCCGCTTGGATCTTTATTTATTTATTATTGTTTTTTTATTTCTATCGGTTCATGTGCAATCTTTTCTTATTTATTTATTTATTGTTATTCCAAATGCACTCTGTTCCGCTGAAATTTTTCCATGTATTTTTGCCTTATTTCTAGCTACCCATGGGTTCCACTCAAGGTTCCACGAGATTTATGTGACCTAGCTTTAGCTGTGTATCCGGTAGGTAACGGCTGTGCTGGCCTTCACTTACCAATAACAATACTTACCGTGATACGGCCATTGATCATTCAGGCAATTCCAGGGAAAATGAAATGGACTGCCACCCACCACGCCACCTGTATATCGGGAAGAAAAATATTGGCCATACTTACCTGAAAACCATCTGGTCGGCGCCCTGGGAGTGAAAATGGTTAGCACCTGTTGAACACATAGGAAAAAATTTTATTTTTCTTAATTTAATTTTATTATTGTTAATTTTATATTTATTTTTCTGCTAATTGTAATCATTATGATTATTTTTTATATTGATTTTCGAAAATATTGCCGCCTTTGTAAAGTTTTGCCAAAAATCCCAATCTCATATCAGAACTGTCACGAGCTTCGTCGTGAGGTTTTGCTCGATTCGTCCTCCCGAATTTGGCCACCGATAATCATTGTAAATATCCTAGTAGTTCATTGCATTAATATCAAAATAAATATTCACAAAATAGCTCGATTCCCGGCAATAACTGATAGTTATACCGCAAACTGATATTAGTGAGGTCAGCAAACCTTAGATTTAGGAAGACAACGGTAAGGTTTTAAAATGAACTCCTAAATGTGAAGTAAAATGATAATATAGTAAAAATTGATACAGTAGCAAATTGAAATTGATGCCAAACATACCGTAGTACTAAAATGTATCAAAAAATTGATACTGTAAAAATTTGATACCAGAAACATTTAAAATGCAACAAAAAATTGATACTGTAGCAAAATTTTGATACAATAGCAAAAAAATTTTGATACCGTAGCAATTTAAAATGTAGCAAAAAATTGATAATTGCATCAATTTAAAGTCATCAGCCTATTATACATTTGTAGCAACATAAGTAAAAAACATAACCAGTAATGATAATGACATACATCAAACAAAATAAAAGGTACACTACAAATATCAGAACGCCGAAGAAAAACCAATCCAATCATCAACAGGTGAATATATACTTGAATAATAAAGTAAGAAAATGACAACGAAGAACAGGAATTACAAAAGTTTGCCAAAAATAATTTCAAAATAGCAGTTTCTGCTATAGCTATATACGAGTTTTCAAAATTTATAAATCGTAAACAATCCATTATCATCCACAGAAGGCAGATATTCTTGTCACGTCATATGATCGATGCTGATATGATCTATTTATATCAATGACAAAAAGCTTAAAGACAAAAAACGCATAAAAGGACAAGAACATCAGTGACGAAAGAGTCTTTTTCTTGTTCACGTTTCAGTGAGTATTATCTGTACATTTTTCAAGCAGATCTTGTTTTCGTGCTCTTGTGTTACTGCTTCTCATATACCTGTGTTTGGCTCCAGTTTCATCAACTCAAACATCGATAGTTCTGGTTCGATCTTTGAAAGAATCATCATCATCATCGTAACTCGAAAAGATCGAACGTATTCGAATCCATTGAGTAGCTACCAAAGAATCACCAGTATTGCATTAACTTTATATTCATCATCATACGCCTTTTTTTTTTTCTATTCTTCATTTTAGCATCATTATTATTATCCATCTCAAGCAAAATCTGACTTTAATCATTTGCCTTCGTGTAACTTCTTCTTTCTGATCTAAATAAGTCAATTTAAAATCAAAGCAGATCATAATTGATACAGATCGCGGCAAATGGACAACCAACAAAAAGCCGTCACTGGCGCAAACAATGGGTATTGTTGATAAAAAATAATTTGATTTGTTATAAATAAGATTCAATGTATGATTAACAACCAAAAAGAATTTTTACAATGTGTTCATAATAATAATCATCGAGAATCATCGAATAACACATTTTATTAAAACTCAATAAATACAATACTTATTCGAACTATCGAACAACATAGTTCTAAGGATACGTTTCATTCTACACCAGCGATAAGATTCACAAAACAACAAATTGTGTGGAGACTATTGTATACAAGTGTACATAGTAAAATAGTGACAACATGTGATGATATAAACAATTTACTAATCATCTCACATTTAGATCTATTGCAACTCTCAATCACGTCTGAATCTAACTTGTAATTGTAACGGATTATTTGAAGAGGCTTCACAGCTGAGGAACGAAAGAAGCTTGAACTGTTGATCAGCATTGACAAATCACAAACATATAAAAGACAAAGACATGATGACAAGATCATCTCCTTTCTTGAGTATCGTTTGTTTCCAAGCGGCGGATTATGTTTTTCAGTGTTACATTCAGCGAGTCGCGTTCTGGTCTTCGCCCAGATATTTTCCGTCTCAAAGTGGTCATCTCATGTTATTCGAATATCATCAAGAATCAACAAAGTTCTCTCAATACCGTCGTCTGGATTCCTTTTCATTCAAACAACCTTCCATGAATTTTTATTATCAACGTATCCAGCAATCATTGTTTAAGCTATTATTTCCATATTTTCATATTCATTTTTCTTTTTAATTATTCAATAAATATTTTCAAATACAAACGTCTTTTTCTCGAAGTTCGCCTTGCTGTTGGCAATTGAAACTGGAAAATAACCGGAAGCCTTCGCTCAGCCGCTTTAATAGCGCGTTAACCAATTTGAATGCGTGGAGGATACTCACGATTTCTCCGGTTAAGGCACCACGATAAGGCAAGCGTCACGGAGAAAGGCTTTGTTAAGTCGAAAAACTCAAATTGTAACTGCAGCACTGGATGAAGCGCCATACCGCAAGTTACAATCCTCGTTTGTATCAACTTTGTCAAATCGTCGATTTCTTTCGAACGATCGTCTCGCCACAAATATATCAAACCTTGACCACGATTCATAGTATAAGTAAAATGAGCATTGCATCAACTACGAAACACGGGATATTTAGTAGCAGTATATATTTATTCGTAAAAAAGTTGAGAGAAGCAGCAAAATCCAATGATACGAGAAAGATACACACATATAAAAGTAAAAAAGGCAGATCACAGTGATCCATTCGCGTAAGGATACATGAGTATTATTACATTGTAGACATGCGCGTTCGTTTTCAAGTCAGGAAAATCCTTGCACAGTTTTACGTTCTTTTAACATGAATAAATTGCAGCGAAACTTTTCGGACACTTGAAGAACTTTGCCATTTTTCGAAATCCATCCATAGTAATCCATAGTAATCATTTTATCATTTCATTTTATTGTATTCAATGGTATTCTCAAACACTTTTCTGCATATTGAATTAGCTTTGAAAGTTTTTAGTTTTCCAAATCAAGTTGTTCATGATTTAACCACCATTTACGAAACTTTATTAAATTATTATTCACGTCAACACTACCAATTCAAAGTGAATTAATTCAAAGTACAAAAATCAAAGATTGAAAACCAGGACCATTTGCTACTTGGTTAAAAATTGAAAATTGAAAAAGAAACAAAACAAACGAAAAATGCCAAAAAAATGTGATAATTCATAATGATAGAGATTTTTATTCATTTTTTTTGTTTTTATCATTATGTAATTTTTTTATGAATTTTTTCTTTAGTTTTAAAAAAAGAGATTTTTTGACTTCCACTTCTTTGTATTTATGGGTTACGAATAAATCTGAAAAATAAAACTTCAATAAATCAGTTAGATCATTGATTGATTAAAAACTCAAGGATTAATTCGGAAATATTTTCACGAGTATCTTTTTGATACTCTGTCCAGATTTTTTTTTTCTGATATCTCCGCAAAACCTACAGTTTTGCAGAGATGCCATATATCTTTAATATCATCATTTGGCATCATAGATGATGCCAAATCACTGGAATGTACAGCGATTCTGTTTTCCCGATTTTGATTCTATTCTAAAAAATAAACTTAGTTAGTTTTGCAAATCAAAATATAAAAATTCATACGTTGGCATCTATGCCGGGGCTATTTGTCAAGTAATTAATTCTTCTTGTTAATTCTTGACAATTTTGATGCAGTTCTTCCACTTGCATTTTCAATTTATCAATAGAAATTTGCATTTCTTCGTATTTATGATTTCCGTCCGCCCGACATAAGGATTGTTTTTTTGAATAACTTCTGTCTCTGTTCCTAAAACAAATTATGAATTTATGAAATTTAAAATGTGGTCTTGTTCATTATAAATATAAAATTCTAATACCTATTGTAATGGTCGTGAGTCGATAGCGCGACCCCAAGTGGCGATTAAGCCAAGCAACACGTGTTGTGTTGCTCATTGTTCGATTGTTCGATAATGCGATTGATGTTTGTTAAGTTGCTTTTTGAATGTCATTGAATAAAGTCATATTTGTAGATTTGAAAATAAGTCTTCCATTTATTTGTGTGATTGCGAATGATAATACATTACACTATAAAAATTATTTTTCCTTTTCTTTTGCTAAAATCTTCCGAACTATATTGAATGTCATGTTTAGGCCAGTCTTCTTCATTACTTGACCGCCATTTTGGATCGAAATCATAAACTTGAAAAGGCTAATTACAAGCAATTTGCCAGAATCGTCTATTAATGATGCCCAGTTCATTTTCGTAAATAATTAATTATTATTATTTATCAAAAATCAAAATTAAAATAATAATTCACACTACGGTGATCAGGTGATTGAGGATAATGATGATGGTTCACATTGACGATTTGTTTGTTAACATCTAAAATTTCACACTACGGTGGTCAGGTGATTGGTGAATGATAAAAATGTATACCATGGTTTGCATGGTTAGCCCAGATTGCAATACTCTTGTAGTGTGTTGCTTCATGTATAATTCGCTCAACAATACCAGAAATACAATTCCTTATCGATATTTGATATTCGTGACGGAGGTTGGCGGTGAGCGGGCAATCGTATTTGAGATGATGTACCGTTTGATTTGTTTCACCGCATTGACATTGGGCATCATTTCTTCTACCGATTTTCGAGCATCGGAATATACCTGGTCGACCCTGTTGGTTTTCTGCCAGCAGACGGTAATATTATCGGTAGTTGTGGTCATAATTTTTCTTGCCAAATTTATCGTCTTTTTCCGATCATATTTCATAATATGCTTAATTGCACCGATATTATTGTTGATTATGGTCATAATTGCTCTACTGCTGAATTTTTCATTGGTAAAGTCGATTGTTTCCGATCTCATAAATAAGTCAGCCTGTAAGTTGGAGCAATATACTGGTAACCGATATAATTTTGTCAATATATGATAAGTGCCATTGTAAACCGCAAAACAGCCACCGATTGATTCCCGCATACGAATCGTTTTCGTGTATATGTGGTGGTACGTACAGGCAAATTGTTGATCGACATATATGTTTGTCGGCACTTCTACCATCCCATCCGAGTTGTCAGCAATGTCGACCTGTATAAATTCATCACCGTATTCGTAATTTTTATAAATTCTCGCCAATGAGATATTCGCTTCACGTTTGATTTCTAGTTCGAGTGGCGCAATGTCGGCAATTGCGGATGTCGATATGAATGAATTTCATCAGCAATACTAGTTGATTGAGATTGTTCAATCAATTCATCACAAGTTTGTTCATTAACTGGTGTTCCTGTTTGAAATCAAAAATCAAAAACAGATCAATTTATAAAAAAGACAAAAAACACGTGCTTTTCAGTCGATTAAACCATCAATCACGAATGAGTCACACTACTCATTAAATGCATACACACAGTACGCATCCTTTTTTCATAGAGATGTTCATAACATACGCATCCTTTTGCCACTAACGCCATCTATCCACCTTTCATAATTGCATTGTAATTGTAATTGTAATTTCTAAAATAAAACAAGCCCGTTTCGAATTTTGCAAGTCAACTTGCCATTTTTGGATTTCCACTTGACACACAGAATTAATGTAACAAATTGTGCTAATTGTTTGTGATGGAATCAACACAGAAGAAATAGGTCTGGTGCTGAATTAAATGTCAATCATTCAGTTTTTAGCAAAGAATGTCGATTATGGATATTGACACGAGCCCTAAATGTGCAATTTGATTTGTTATTTGGAACAAATTTTGGTCATTTCGATTATTTACAACTTTATCATGACAACTTATTGTAAATTTGTGATCTAATATGTTTTGATTTTTATTTGCCCCTTTATATTATGCAATAGGGGTTGTCTCTGTTTAATAAAATTTCAATTTCAATGTAACTAATGTTCAGATGGAATTATACTGTAGGCTGTTCTTTCCATTCTTGGTATATAATTGCAAAAAGAATGGCAACAAAAATGATGTATGTGAATGTACAATGAACGAATGTACTAGAGATTTATTGTTCAAATTGATAAAATGATGATCGGGTTCAATCAAAAGAAATAAAATGATACAGATGTGACAAATGACATGATGAGATGATTACATTTGACAAAAGAAAAGAGATTATTTTGTTTGTATTTGTTATGTGTCGTACAAGCCAAAAAACAACAAACCACTTTCTGATTTATTTAGTGCTTTTTCAATATTATAAACGGTAATCTTTAACAATAATTTCATTCGAGACAAATGCGAGATACGATTTCGAGAAAAAATATCTCACGTGAACAAGCTTCATGTTTATAAATTCATTCATTAATAATAGTTTAACGAAACCACAAGCTGCATTTTGTCAAGATTTCTGCTTGAGTGGAATAAAAATTTCAATTAACAAGTTGTAAAAATGCTCATCATTATCATTCCACTTACCGAGTACTGCTAATCAAATGGATACTTGAATGGAAATGATACTCTGCATTGCTTGGCCACTTTGTTGATAAATCAACACATCACCACTTGGCAAAACATATGATCACTGTTAAATCAATAACGTTGCTTGTGAAAGGTCGTTCGGAGTGTGCCATGCGCCCATGTGTGCATAAATCCATGCCGCTGCTGATCGCGCGGCGGGAAGCATTCATCACACAGAACGAGTGAAACATCATGCATGCATTTTTCATTAAATCCAGTAGCAACGTTCACTGCAAGTCATGATCCGTTAGAATACGTACGTGGCCTTTTTATTACCCCACCGCCGAATCATCATCAATCATCAACTTGATTTAAAATCAATAATTCAAATTCCAAGGAAAAGGTTCGTGTGTGTGTATTCAATTACAATCAAACAAACATTTCAATTTCAACGTCATTATTGTGTGTGTGTGCACAAGGTGGACAATCATCTTACAGTGATTGATTAGGAAAAATTATCGATAATTTGCAAATTATGTGACAACCGTGCATTTGGAAATTTTTTCCTCATCATCTCCGAATGACCAACACACACCATACACAACAACGCATCTTGTCTTGTGTATCCACATATAGCAGCAAATATAGATCACATTTCAATCATCATCATGATTCGAATTGGAGCAATCACGCAAAATCCAACCAAAATCGCCTGATCTTAGGGCCATTATCATTTCCACCACCACCACAACCACGCCACAGTCGTGTGTTGTATAGATATGTATAGACATAGCTAGAGCATTGGCTCCAATTCAAACGGGAATACCATGCTATGACAACCCAAGGAGGATCCGAACGATATTCACACACAATTTACACACGACACACGCACGCATTCAAACTGCACTCAATTCCGAGCATAGCATGATGTAGGTTTTTTGCCAAGAATCATTGGCGAATCACTATATCAACTGCTGCTAATGAATCAGAGTATATCATCGTCATCATCAGCAAAATTCATGCTTCATGATGATGATGATGATGATATTCAATCGAAACCGGTTACTGTTACAATATGCAGAGTGTGTGTGTGTGTGTGTGTGAATTTAGAATTTATTAAATTTTCAAATTAAATTGACCATATCTACTCACATTATTAATGACAACAATCATCAGTCAGTCGATAAAATGCCAATTTTCCTTGAACCACTGAAAGTCGCGTTGATAATCACCGAATAAAATTGAAATTTGGACATCTACAATATCCAATATCCAATTTTCCTAAACCAACATCGTATCGATTACATGATTATAATTTGAATAAATAAATATATGCTTGACTATTATTGATTACCAATTTATCATTTTTTCAGTTTGATATTTATTACCACCACCAATCAAGAAGCAAACAATCGCTCAAGGAACAAACTAGTAATAATCATCAGAGCAAAAACAAACGACTCGACCATTTCATCTCGTCATTTTCAAATTGGATTCACTCGATGCTAGAGATGGCTTTCAACGTTTTGATCGCTATCACCATATCGGTGGTAACCATTTATTTCTACGTTAACCGCAAGAAATTGTCCCAATCCATAATACAGTTCCAACGCGTCTGCAACAAATACAACTATGACAAACAATCCATCGAACACAAGGTCAGTCACTTGATTCGTTGATTGATTTCGTTTGATTCAGTTTTTTTTTTTTTTTTTTGGTTCAACACCACCACTCTAGACCCCGAACGGAGAAGTGGTTCGCTATTCGAAATACGTGCCGAAAGACGCCAACGATCCACTCAACGACCAACCACCCAACGACCCACTCAAGCTAAATTACATCACTCACTACTACGACCAGTGTCGTACCATGAACGACGTTCTCACCACCGGAGCCAAACTCAGTAGTAAGTTGATCAATTATTACACAATTACATGATCAATGATTCAATCACTTTTGTTACAGTTGACGGCAACTGCGTTGGATCCATCAACAAGGCCAGAAATGGCGTCGACTGGCTCACATTCGAACAGGTACTGGTTCGCAACAAACACTTTGGCGACGGCTTGCTTCAGCTGGGTCTCAAGCCGAAACTGACGTTTGGTATATATTCGATGAACACGCCAGAATACACGATTGCCGAATATGCATGCTACCGCCACTCGATCGTCGTCATACCGATCTACGAAACGTTGGGCTCCAACATTTGTGCTTTCATCGCCAAACAGGCCGAACTGAGCACCATTTTTTGTGATACTCTTGATCGTGTGGTCAACGTTCTTAACAACGCGAGCGACTTTCAATTTCTCAAACATATCATCGTCTCGCATCATGATGACGAGTCCATTTCCGCCTGGTCCGATAATCAACAGCATCTGGAGACTCTGAAATCAAAGGCCCAATCGCTTGGTCTCACACGTATGTTCAGCATCATACCGGTTGTGCTAGTGGCGAATGAGAATAACAGCCAAAATTCTTTTGCTTTTGTGTTCCACTCAAAAAATCAGTTCACTCGATGAAACAGGTGGAACAATTGGGCCAGCAAAACGCCCAACAGGACCATCCGCCAGGACCGGACGATTTGGCCGTCATCTGCTACACGAGTGGCACGACCGACGCTCCAAAAGGCGTCATGTTGTCGCACGAAAACATTGTGGCCAACTTTTCGACCATCATGTTTCATCTGGACGAATATCATATCGCCAACACTGACGTGTTGATATCGTATTTACCACTGGGTCACATGTTTGAAAGAGTTTGCGAGGTATACAACACCCCCCACCACCACCACCACTGCACTATGCTCATGTTTTCACTCATTCACTAATTGCTTCACTAGGCTGGTACATTGGCTGCTGGTGGAAAAATTGGCTACTTTAGCGGTGACATCAAGCGTCTGTCGGACGATATGAAAATCATCAAGCCAACATTCTTCCCTTGCGTTCCTCGAGTGCTCAATAAAATCTACAGCAAAATTCACGAAAACGTCAGCTCGAGTGCCATCAAGTCGTGGCTACTGAAAACGGCTTTCGAGTCTAAACTGCGTCAATATGAAAACGGAATCTTTGATAACAACACTTTTTGGGACCTGTTGATTTTCAACAAAATTCGCGCTCTCTTTGGCGGCCACGTTCGCCTCATTCCGGTCGGATCGGCTCCAATCAACGGAAAAGTGCTCAACTTTTTGCGTTGTGCACTCGGCTGCCATGTGAGTGTTTTGTTTGTTGTTCATTATTTTTATCAATTATGTTCACACAACAATCCTAACATTCTCTTTATCACTGATCACCAATAACAAGATCCTGGAAGGATATGGCCAAACCGAATGCGTGTCTGCTGCTACAGTGACCTCCATCGGTCATTACGAAACTGATCACGTGGGCGTACCGTTGAACGCTGCCTGCATCAAATTGGTGGATGTTCCCGACATGGATTATCTGGTATCCCAAGGAAAGGGTGAAGTGCTCATCAAAGGATCGATCGTTTGCAAAGGCTACTACAAGGATCCGAAAAAGACACAGGCCACCATCGACCAAGATGGCTGGCTCTACACTGGCGACATTGGCAAATTCAACGAGGTGTAACACAACTACCATTAAAGTGATTTTGTTATCACACACACACATTAATCATCTATCATCTATTTTTGTTGTTGCTACAGAACGGAACAATCAAAATAATCGACAGGAAAAAGGACATTTTCAAGCTGGCACAGGGTGAATACATTGCGCCCAGCAAGATTGAGGATATTCACATGCAGTCGCCGTACATTATGCAGATATTCGTCTATGGTGATAGCTACAAGTCCTGTTTGATTGCAGTTGTCGTGCCCAATCTGGCTCTCATCCAGGAAGTGTTTAAAACACGGGGCAAAATTCTCGACTTGAACAACAACGATGAATTACGAGCAAACAAGGTACGTGTTGACAACCAACCAACCAACCAACCAACAACAACAATCATTCAATCAATAATCAATCCTACACAACAGGAAATCAAACAATTCATCATGGAAGAGATGCAAAAGTGGAACGGAATCGCCAAACTGAAATCGTTCGAAAAGGTTCGCGATGTCTACATCTACCCCGAAGGATTCACCATCGAAGAAGGATTACTTACGCCGACGTTGAAAAACAGAGTGAGTGCTAACCCACCCCCACCATTCATTGTTGCTTCATCTCATTAATTCATTCATTAATTTCAGAGATTCGCCTTGAAAAATCACTTTAAACAACAGATTGTAGATCTCTACAGCAAACTGGAATAACGCGACTTGTCTCGATTGAAATTGTCGTCCATGCTTAATAATTAATAATTTATAATTTAATGATGATTATTAATAAGATTATTATTATTATATTAATTATATTTCTGATTTACGATTGATTGATTGTCAACATTGATTCATATGAATGAATGAATGAATGAATGAATCAATCAATCAATCGATCAATGTTTAGTTCTTTTTTAATAATAAATTATAATATAATATAATTTCAACACTGACAAAAACATTTGTACGCTTTCATGCCGGATTCAGCCAGTGCATGGTATCTGCTGCTCGTCAGCTGACTGGCCACGTAGTTGGCATTATCCGTGACCTTGAGGTCGAACCACCATCCAGGCAGATATCGACTGAGATTGTCGTCCACATTCTGACAGGCCGTCAGTTTTGGCCGAGCATTGCATGCGGCCACATTCGAATCGCCGATATTCAACAGTTGACGAAACAGCGTCTGAAACGTTCCCAACACTTCACTTTGGCGAACATTCTGCTGGTGATTATGGTGGTATTGGCCAAACATTCGATCCACAAGGCCTTCCGGAATGACTGCATTGACAAATCGTTGATCAATTCGACGACGACCAACAGCAGCAGCGGCTGCGGCTGTTTCGGCCGACGAAATCATGCCAAATTTTTCAGCCGTACTGGTCATGTGTCTGGCGAAATCCATACAATTCATGAAATTGAAACTTGCCATCGATGATAGTGCATCACCTTGTTGTTGTTGTTGTTGCTGGCCTCTGAAAAATGTGACCAGCACCAAGAATAAAAGCCACAAATTACTCAGCGACAAGTTCATTGTGATTATGATGATGACAAAGTGAGAATGACAACAAAATGGTTCTCAATTCACCAAATGGTCACGTACATGATCGATTATTATTTGGTAGAGAAGCAATGTGTTTGTTTAATAATAATGGTAAACAGAATGCAATACTGGTATTCAAATTCAAATAAAATCATGGGCAATCATAGCAAATCATGGGAAGGGCGATACACAAAATGATAATTTAATGCAACTCATTATGTTTGTTTCTGGTGGATTGATGGGAAATTTTCAAAAAAAATTATTCCGAAAAAATTATTTTACAAAATAAATATTAAATGCAAATGCAAATGCAGGTCGTCATTCTTCATCAAGTCTTGAATACTGGTCTCCATTCATTATTAATCTGGTCACTCTTTGGAAATACACCACCACCACTGTGGCGATATGATCGCATCATTCTGTGCGTTTGGTAAGCAGCAGTTTGATTAGCAGCAGCAGCAGCAGGACGTTCAATGGCTACACTGGTGGAATTTAGTTTCGTCACGTACATTGGTTCACTGTACTTGTTGATTGCCACGGTAGAATTAGTAGAATTAGCAGAATTGTCCACTCGTTTGTTGACCACTTTTTCTGGTCGACGCGACAACGGTCCGATTCGATGTCTCAACATTGGAATCTGTGTCATTGCTGTTGTCGGCAGGATTGGATACGATAATGGCGCTGTTGCAATTGGAGAAAATGCAACTCGCACAGGGTAAAGCGAACTGGCTGCAGTGACCAACGAATTGAATGCCGCCGACTGATGGCCGTATGGACCACCAGATACACGATACGGCGCAATCGGACTGTGAATCGGCGCTGTCGAGGGAAAATACGGCGACATGTATGGCAATGATGATCGATATCGTTGCATATGGTAATATTGATTGATTGGCGGGAAAAACATTGGCCGCATCATGCTACCGGCAGCTGCCATCATGGAATTGGGTCGAGGATAGTTGTACAGCAGCTGCTGATTAGAGTGTGGATAATAACCGCCCAACAACGATGGCCACGATGGACGGTTACCGTACAACTGTGAATGGTCGGCCAATGGTGCAGGTGCTTCGGTTGGACGCATAAACGGCATGTATTCCGTGGCCGTGGTTGGGTTCAACAGCGAATTGGCAGCAGAATAATGATACGACGGTACGACGTTCCGCAGACGTGGATTCATCGGCTTGACGCTCGGCCCAAAGAATGCTGGATACCAGTTGTCCACTTCTGCAGCATCAGAATATGGCCGAGGTCGCGTTAATGACAATGTGGAAGCAGGCGATCGAAAATTTGTAGGAAACGGAGGTCGACGCATACTACTCGCAGCAAAGCCATTAACCGGATTGACCACTCCTCTCAAGCCCTGGTTATTATTGCCATTGAAATGAGGTTGTTGGTAAAAGTTGTTGTTGTTGTTGTTGTGATTGTTGTGGTTGTGGTTGTGGTTGTTGATGATGTTTGATTGTTCACCATAGTCTTCGCCGGAATGATGATGTTGCCATCCATTGTCGGCCGCCACATCATTCACCAGATGATGATCATTGTGTTGAACTCCGCCACCGTCACCACCATTGATGTGGTTGTGGTTGAGGTTGTCGTCACCATCATCCATGTGACCATCGTTGGCCATCTTGGTGTCCTGGTGATGATGGTCTGGATCGTCGACAGCCTCGCCTGAATTGTCGAAATCATGGTATCGATGTTCTCGTTGATCTCTTGGTGGCTTCACTCGATTGCCGTACAAAGTCTGCGCTGACGCATACAAATCGTTGGGATAGACATTCTGTTGACTGGCCCCACGATTGGATTGAAAATCCAATTTCATTGTCGACGGCGGAAGAATCTGATTCGTAGTTTGCGATTCTGGCGTTCGCATGAATACCGGCTGCTGCAGAAACAGACTCGAGCTCAATGGAGGTGGCGCAAACGATGACCAGGTATTCTGAGGCAGATACCAAGAACTGGGCAACGGTATCGAGGAAATGTTGTGCTTCGGTGTGATCAGATCGATCGTATCGACCACTGAGGATGATGACAATCCCAACAACTTGGACGGTTTAATATCGTTCAACAGTTTGGGAAATGATTTGAATGCTCGAGTCGCTTTTTCTGCACTGGTCGAAACCAGTTCACCAATTCGACGTCCCAGTCCGATGGTCGTCTTGTTCTTGTTGCTGTTGTTGTTGTTACTATTGCTATTACGAATCACATGATTTTGCTGGTAACTTGTCGACGGCAACAGAGTGCCCAAATCCACCGGATATAATGAACCAGCAGCAGCAGCAGCAGCAGCAGTGGATGGTGACAGAAAGTAATTGGAATAAAAGGGCACGTAATCGCCATTGTCCACGAAATTCGTGTAGTTTCCAGCATCCATCAATAGATTATCGACCGATATCGGCGCTGCCGTTGAAGATGTTGCCGACACAGATGATATGGTCGTCGTCGGCGTCGTGCTACTCAATGTAGTGGATGGTGGTGGATTCAGCTGAGACTGTCTCTGTTTGCTGTTTCCATTAACAAAATGGCCTGATGAATCGACGGCAGACGCAATGGCAGCAGCCACGATACTGTTGAAATCGCTGGCTGATTCGGTCAAGTCTGTTAATGGTTTCTGTTGTGAATTGCTTTTCGACGGTACGGCAGAATAAAACGGAATCGGGGCATTCAACAACGAACGTGGTTGCTGATGATGGTGGTAATGATTCTGGTGACCATTAGAACATTTGCTGGTGGCCACTGTGACCACCGGTGATAAACAGCAGCAGCAGCAGCATACAACAACAATCAATATCAAGGTTATTGGCGGTGTGCACACAATAAATGTGCTGTGATTATGGGCCATTTTATCTGTAAAAGTGCACAAAAAGAAAGAAAAAAGAAAAAGACAACATTTATTTGTAGTTGTAACATTAATCGATTGTGGCTGACAACCCTTCGTTTTAATGATATTTTGTCAAACACAATCGTGCCTCTCTGTCCAGTCACGCTTGCCATTGTCACCATCAATGGTGAATCAATCACAATTTTTGCACATACAAAGAAAATATCTAGTCTTTTCTTTTCTTTTCTTGTTGTTAATAGTCGATAGTGGATTCAATTACATTCAGATTCAGATTTATTTATAGAACGATCATCATCATCAAGGATGATCAAAGGATTTTGTTGCCATTCACTCATTCATCCAGCGAATGAATGAAACATTTGTCATCAGGTGATAATAGACAATGGGCAAACAAATCGATATGCATGGCTGTTTGGCCATTGCATTATATACCGTGTGAAGAATGTCATCATCATCATCATCATCATCTTGCCATAATTGAATCGGTTAACTGTGTGTATGTGTGTTTTGTATATATAGAAAATAATTCACCAAACGACAACATGAGAACCGGAATGCACACAAAAAGCAATCTTTCCGCTAAATGGTCACACATAAACACAAACACACACACAGAACCTACATTATTTGACAAAACTGACCAACAGCAGCAGATGATGATGACAATCTAATGATAATCATTTGTTTATCCATGTAAGGATGATGGTCCGTTGATCATGGTAACGTGCTTGGTCATCATCACTATAATTAACTGGACAATGAGAGCATGTGAACAACTGGACCAATGCAAATCAATGGAAACCAATGGAAATGATGAAAATGACCTCAGGAAATTATCAGTTTGTTTCGGTTCATGGAATGGTATGGACGCCTAAAATAGATTACCATTACTATTTGTCCATCCTGTGAAAGTATTTCATTCAACATTGTTTCAATGTATCGATTACCTGATTACTCGCCAATCAATTACACTGTTGAACCAACTGTCGACAACATTCATTCAGTCATTCAACCGTGAAACAAGTGACAAACCGTTTCGTTTCGACATTTCTGGCTCAACGTACCATCCACTGATGATCATCATTGATGATTGATTCACCGACTACGACGACGACGACGACGGCCACGATCATCATCTCGATTTAAGGTCAACTATTCACTACTACACTGATCACATCACAAAACCAGCACAATTTTAGATCAAACAATGCTAAATCGACGCTAATGGGATACCGAATGTCACAGTGCACGATAGATGATCCACACAACAATGCCCTTCAAAATCATTACTGGATAATAATCCAGGTTAATCACTCGCACAACAACTGATGCTTACCTTGTTTCAATGTCCACAATATCCAAGTTGCAGTGTTCAATGATCAAGTGTAGATAAACAATATTCGGTTGAAGAATCGAAAAGGATTATCATATGAAAATGTTTCATTCAAAGCAATATTGACGATACTTCGGGTAACATTTTGTTCATTACACAGATACACACACACACACACACACACACACACACACACACGGACACACATGTATACAGACGAATGAACCGTCTTCAACGACGACCAGATCGTTTTTGGCTCTCGATCTGGGTCTTGCTTGATCTCGTCGTCGGTGACACAAGATGATCATGTTCACTCCTAATGCTTTTGACTCTTTCTCCTTGTGCAGAAAGAGAACGACGGTAGAAATATAGATTATAGAGGAGAATAGAGAAATGTCTAAAATAAAATGCCTAAAAGAGAACCAGATTGTCACCTTTGTTGAATCGATTATCGTCATCGTCATCATATAAAGATTATGATCATTTTTATCATATTTATCGGTCACGATTTTTCGCTTCGTCATATGTGTCATTCATTCATGCAAACAATAACGCCGGCCATCCAATTCAATCATCGGTGATTAGGTCAAAAATTGATACCGCCGCCGCCGTCAAGATCATCATCATCCCGACATTGTTTTGCTCTTTCCATTCCATTCAACCACCTGACCAATCACCACACATACACACACACACTGGACACTATTGTCTTGGATAATTGTTTAGCCATGGGCATCGTACGTCCATCATCTTTCAATGAATAAATCGCACACTCGGTCATTATATTGTCACATGAATGCATGGAGGATTAAATGGTCTGCAGGCAGCAGGCAGGTACAATTCCATGATTAGTCATCCATGTGATCAGATATGAATGATGCATGAATGATTATCATCATCATCATCATCATCATCATCTGCAATCATTCAATGCAAATCATTATTATGATTAGCCAAACACGCGATGCAAAGACAATGCTTTGGTTCAACGTAATTACTCGGATTGAATCCGGTTAATAATAATTAATCAAACAATGTATTGTGATGACTGCTGAACCAAGCCCTTTGACCGTATTTCATTGTTTTGTTGAATTCCAGGTTAATATCTAGTTGACTATAATCACAAATTTCATTTAATGTGACATATTTGCATTGTCATCGCATCCGATCATCTCCATTCATTGCCAATGTCGTTGATCATTAATCGGTGGCTAAAGTTATTGCTCTCACCATACTAATCAATCGCTGATAGATTGAATATTTGCTCTACGACGACATATCCAACCAATGAGCACTGAGCAGTTGGTTCGATCTGCTGCCTTTTATCATCAATATGATAAGTCATCGATTAATTTCAAGGAAAACAAAATACAACAATCTTTTATTTTAATCAAATACAACTACCATATAATTATAGAATGACAGATATTCAGATACATTCAGACATTCAGATATTCAGATATTCAGGTTATTGAGTGACATGAATTCCTTGGTATTCATCGTTTGAATGCGCAACTTGGCCATATCGTCGGCCAATTCCAGACAAACAGGCACATCGTTGACAAAAAAGGATTGCACCTTGTAATGACACAACGCGAAACAGAATTGAGCCAGAACAGAAACAGGCAACTGCATCTGGTCCCGAATGACGTGATATTTAGTCGGTCGCAACAGCTTCAGTCCATAGTTGGAATTGTCGGCAAACAGGCAAAACGATTTGTATCCAACAATCAGACTCCGTTTAAAGGGAGCTTCGGCCATCGTACCGTACATTGTACCACCACCACTACCTTTCATGAGACATTCGCGAGGCTTCTTCTCGACCAGCAAACAGGTCAGCTTGGTGTTGGTCATATCCAATTTGGTCATCACATCCTGAATGATCGAGATCATCGCTTCAAAGTGTACGTTGGGCAGCCTTTCGAATGACAACAGGTTTCGAAACAAAAAAATGAAATTCGGATACTCGTCGTTCGTTTGTTTGAATTGTTCCATTGCCTTGACCATCTGTTCCAATGTGAGACCATCAGTCCACTTGACAGCTTTGTTCATTCGGTCGTCCAATGAAACCCAGAAACCGGTCGCCGACTTTTGGCCCTCTTTCCGGTGGTAACAACCAATCACCATAGTGCGACCAATGTCAAACGATGGACAATGAAGCTTCATCACTTGATGATTCAGGTAATCACAATCGACAATGTTCACCGACCCATTGAACGTACGACAAAGTTTGATCACCACTCGATCAATCAATACATCACCACCATTATCGCCAAGCAATTCGTGGGAAGCGAAATTGAAGCAGGAGAAATTATTTTTCCGGGCCAAGTACTCGGACAAGTTGAACACTGTTTGAGCATTGTGGACATTTGCCAATGAGATACCTGAATGATAATGATAATAATAATAATAAAAAAAAAACAAATGATCATCATCATCATCATCATTATGAAGCTTAATAATGGCCCATTTATCTCATATTGAGAGAGAGAGAGAGCCACCACCATTTTGCTCGTCGTCACGGTCCAACGAGATTACAACAACAAACCTTCATTGATGAGCACTATGGCCAATCGTATTTGATCATTCGTGGCCAATCGGGAAAAATAGCAACCCATTTCTTGAGGTGAATTGATTCGAATCGATTGACATTGGACACAGTCCTCTTTCGAAAGCGCTCTGCTCATTCCATATTTCACAGCCTTCGCAATGATCCCATCTCTGAATGATGTCAATATCGATTCATCGTCTTCGAATCGTTTGTCGTTCAACGAGATGATTGCCCATTTGCACGGTTCAAAATCAGTATCGTAGAATTGCCCACAATGGTCACCATCTGGCGGCAATAATCGGGGCTGTGGCAAAATCCTGGCCTCGTATTCAATCGGATTCAAATCGATGACAATTTGTTTATAGCGAACCGATTCAGCCAAATATCGGGCATAGTTTCGTATCTTTTCGAAACATTTATCGGCCGACACACTGGCCTGATGACGCAATATGTCTCGATAAGTGTGCGACAGTTTGTCGTACATAAACGGACTGAATCCAGCATCCAGAGTAAACAATTTGGCGTTGATATTCAACAAAAAGGGCTGCGAACCGTCCTCTTGATAGGGTCGACATATTTCAATCGTGAAACCGGCCACAATCTGAAAATAGCAGCTTGAATTGTCTACCTCATTATTATTGTCGTTCACATAGATTACATCATTCTTGTCGATGAATCTGCCTTTGCGATACAAAAATCCCAGCTTCAGGTGCTGATTTATGGTGCTGAGCAAAAGACGTTCAGAAATTGGATTCGCAGCGAATGAAATGGTAAAATAATTGGATGTCAATGCGAAACACGAATCGTCGTCTGTTGTTGAATCCATTTTTGAACCAATTTTTCAATCACTTTACTCATTACTCACTTTACTCACAACAAAACAATTGCGAAAACGGAAAACAATTTGATCAAACAAAAAACTTGCTGCCCTTCATAGAGTACGTGACGATTTGAATTTACAAAAAAAAAATCCAAACTTTTCAAATCCGAGTTTATTCAAAGCTCGACCCTATTACGACGACGACTAGTGAGATTACCCTTGACCGCATGACAAACGTTGAGCTCGTGACACACCAAAAGGGCAACATTCTTGGCACCGATAAGACTCATTTCGATGGCACTGGCCGCCCATTCGATCGCGTTCAGATAATAGACGCCAGCACGAAGACGAAACGGCGGCAATGGCTGCCCGACCGATCGATAATCAGGATATGCGAACCAATTGATTTGCTGGATGTCATCGATCTGTTCAAACAAGCCATACAATTCATGAGGATCCAGTTGCCGATTGCTAAACACTTTGTAAACACTTTGCTGCTTGCCTGCTGCTTCGCTGTTCACTGGTTTGATTCGATTCTGGACAGGCATCAGTTTCGACAACGAAGTGAAAAACGATCCACCACGGCCAATATCACAGCTGAGAATGGAGAGATCTTTGTACTTGTTCAACACTTGACCTTTGACGAATGTGGCCACCGTACGGTGCATGTGGTACTTGTCGAATATATCGTTGATCAACTCGTTCCGTTTGGTCAGATTATTGAATTGAATGGAATTTGTCTGGCTGGCCAACGGTGTGGCAATGATGACATGATCATAAATGTCGGATTGTACTGAGTGGTTGTTGTTGTTGACCACAACACCATCAAGTCTCTTGGAATCGATTCGAAATCGATGATCGCCCATGTAGTTAATGCTAACCACTTTGGTGTTGAGCATCATTCGAGCTTGTGAGAAATGGGCCAAATGTAATGGCAACAATTTGTTGCCACCTTCGATCGCATACAATTGACTGCCTGCGCCGGCAAACGAAACCATACCCACCAATGCCGGTATCGAGATGGTTTGGCCATAATTCACCAACGATATCGATTGCACTATCTGACTGATGAATTGCTCAGACAGTTTGTATTCGGAATCCAGCATGTGTTTGTACGATGTTCGTGTCAGATTGTAGATGAGCGAATCCATTGCCGTGAGCAGATCGCTCACCTGGTCATAGGCATGCTGTTCACTTTGTAATCGATAAATCCTAGATCATCAATCATATATAATTATAATCAATATATAATCGGCAATTCACGATATATATAGTATACTCACCTTTCAAAGTGGTCAATCACTTTGGTCACCTGTTTCTGTAACCGTATCAGATCGAGGCCATAGTATCGCAGTAACCGTATCAATGTGACAATATCCCAGGAACTTTCACAAAACACGAATCGTTCGCCATTGTAGATGCACAAACGATCATCCGATCGCAGGGCTCGTCTCTTCAGTCCTAAGAGGGAGAATATGTTCAAGTTGAACAACAAATAATAACACAAACAACACACACACACATGACTTGATTACCGAATTTTGCCATCAGATCGGCAGCATATTTGTTTCGTTCATGAATGATCGAACCGCCAGCTTCATAATGGTTGTTGTCCACGTTGACCGTATGTAGTCGTCCACCGAGACGATAATTTTTCTCGTAAATAGTAATCTCGTGCCGTAGATCACTTTGCTGTTGTTTGGAAAGCAATTCGTTGAGGAAATATGCCGCTGCAGTACCGCCAACACCACCACCGATTACAGCTAGTCATCATATATGGTGGACAAATTGTAATGGCGCACAGTTAAACAACAGGCAATCAAGTCAAACTCTCACCTATTCGAATGGTTCGCTGTTGTTGTTCTTGTTGTTGTTGTTGTTGTAGTTTTTCATCGGTCGTCGTCAACAATTGGTCCCGATGATGAGCATTAAAGGAGCCATCACTTGATTTGATGTCGCTGTACGTGAATGGCAGCAACTGAATGAGCACCAGAGCCGCCGCAACAATGGCTTGTCTGTTGGTCATGGCCAAATGCTGCGAAACGCTGAATCGGCAACAAAATAAATAACGAGCATTTTTTCTCTTGAACAAGACCAAAAACAAAAACAAAAACAATATAAATCAATTAAAAAACTTTTGCCCGTGCTAGTGCTATAGCAAACGTCATATATGACGGGTTGTGTTGTAGACTCCTCCCATTATGTATTTTTTTTAACTCGATTTCAACTTTGGTTGTACAAAGTCTACCCCAAAAATGGGCGTCTATTTTTTCTTCTGCAAGAGAAAAAAATGGTGGCAGAGGTGGGATTCGAACCCACGCCCCCGGAGAGACTGGTGCTTTAATCAACACAGCTGAGAAGGTATGAAGGGTACGCGTACTCGCGCGCGCGTACCGTGTGTGTAAACCGTTTTAACCGTTTTAACCGTTTCTAAACCGTTTTTAACAGTTTGTAAACCGTTTTAACCTTGTAAACTGTTTTCCTTAAACCAGCGCCTTAGACCGCTCGGCCACTCTACCTGAATAATAGGAAATACGGATACCAACCGGGATAAACCAATGCATGACGAACCTCGATAAATTTTGTAAACAAAAAAAAATCCATTCCAAATAGACGCTTTATCAAGAGTACTGCATGCACAAATTGATCTCAATGAACGAATGAATGAATGAATTATATAGTCGACAACAACAACAACAACAGACTGTAAAATGCTTTGCATTAAACACACACATATGCCATATACCATGATCGTTGTCCTGACTGTGATTGCGTTATTATCATTCACCATTCATCCATCATCGTCCACAACATTCAACATTACCGAACATTCGTTCAATGACAATGACCCCGAAGCATCATCCGATTGGCATTGTTGGAACACGTTGTTTGTCAATCCACTAAACAACAAACATGAATGCAACTGTTTCATCAATGTCACCTGCACCAACCAACCATCACTACTGATCAACGAAAACAACAACAACAACCATGAACTCATAGACAATTCTTCTTTGGTCTGGCTTCGTTGCTACAATCTCCAATCGGTTGATGACTCCATCATGTTGAGTCAATTTCATAAAACTTTGCCTCGAAAGCTGTTGGAATTGGCGGTGGCTAAAGATGCTAGTAAAGATGTATGCCGCAACAAAACGATATCGTCAGTAGTAGTCTGCTGCTCGTCCCGCTACGAACGGATTTCATACGCTGTGACCAGAATATTGTCAACAATTTCCTCGGCCAACTGGTCCAAAGTGGCCACTACTACTGGCTACTGAAATCTTTGACCATCAGTGAATCTGGACTGGACAAAATACCGGACAATCTGCCTAACCACTTCAAATCTCTACACACGCTAAATCTGACAGCAAATCAATTGACCAAATTTGACTCGAACGACGCAATCATCGACCAATCAATCATCATCATCATCAATCGAGACAATCGACCTGAGCAACAATCAATTGGAACGGGTGGATCTGAGCCATTTCACAGCACTACGAACAATCAATCTGTCACAAAACAATCTGTCCACACTGTCCCGCAACAACTTGCACGCACAAACAGTGGATGTGAACATTGGCAACAATCCCTGGAATTGTGACCACCGGATAGATTGGCTCATTGATATGATTGCCGAAATTGTCGAAAAGAATGGTCGGTCATATTTCTTTGAATCCACCTCGAATCAATTGATGAACAACGTCAACAATCACGTCGATCTATTCCAGACAAACGAACCGGAATGCAATCAGCCCATCGAAGCCAAAATGTTTCCCTTTTCAGTGTGGAAATCGGTAAAAGAATCGAGCATATGTCAAACATGCAATTGCTACCTCAAAGACAAATACGCCAAAGTCGGTTATCGGTATGTGTCGATCAACTGCACGAACCGCAATCTTGTATCGTTGCCTAGTCGTCTGCCAAAAAACACAAAAATACTGGATCTATCGGCAAATCAGATCCGTAACCTGAATCCGCTTAGCAAATACCATCACGGTGAGCTGTCGAAATGGGCAAACATCAACAAGATCATTTTGAGCAACAATCTGCTCGAATCATTGGACGGACTTGAATCGATACGTTCGATTGTGTTTCTGGACATATCGGGCAACCTGCTCACCGAGATTCCGTATCATATCGTCAACAAGGTGCTGTCCAGCAACAAGATTGATAAATTTCGAATCGGCAACAATCCGTACGTCTGTGATTGCAACACGGTCAAGTTTCAGAAATGGCTACACAATAATTACCGCATCATACTGGACATTAAACAAGTTCGTTGTGGCCATCTTCGTGACGAATTGCTGCTGCACAATCAATCGTTTTATGTCGGCGGTCCGATGATCCAACAGGCTCGTCAAAGTCGATTCTTCAACAAGGAAATCCTGCAAATCAACAGTCTACATTTGTGTCCAATTGCCGATACGGTGGTCGATGCATTGGACCTCATCAACATTGTGTTGGCCGTATCCATTATGTTGTTGATCATCAAAGTTGGCTACGATTTCTTGTGGCAGAAACGTACGGGCAAATTGCCTCGATTCTTTAAACTAAACATTTGACAGAGCGATTCATTTCTGCTTATCTTTATCAAATATCAACAGCAATGACAATAAAATGCATAATATAATCCACTCAGCTACTACTACAGTTCCTCTTTCGATGGCAGTGTTGTTTCGGTCAGACAAGCGGCTGTATCACCATGATGATTGTCGTTTGGCAACACTCGATCCTGGCACAGATATTGAATCAACGACTGTTGTTGTTGATGATGATAGTACCACTGTTCAATGTCGGCTTCGTGTTTTTCCATCATGTCTTCGCATTGCGTTTTCAGATTCGTTATTTCGGCCGATGGTTTGTCCCAAAGATCGTATGGAATGCCCAGATCCACTTTGACACCCTTGTCCACCAGACCATGAAGTGTCTGGAACGTCGTACTCATTCCTTTTGCGAATCGATTGCTGTCCTTTCGTTCCTTGTGAATGTTGTATTCCAACATCACGTCACATATTCCGTCCATGGATTCAATCAATCGAAGTTCGCTGTTGTTCGTATAAATCAAATATATTATTTTCACCCTAATAACACGACAAACAAAAGTCACTTACGAGGCTTTGTATTGTTTTTTGGCACGTTGGTCACTGTCGAACGTGTATCCAGTCTCAATCACATCGTGTGACTTGGCCGTATCATGAAATCGATTCTCCAACTCTAATGCGAGAATCTTGCACACTTCACAAGCTGTTGCATATCGAACGCCATAATGTTCCTCTTCCACTGATGATGCGCTTATCAATAATGCTGGTACAAAAAACAGCAACATCAAAAGAGATGTGCAGCACAACATCTGTCAAATAAACAAACAAACAAACAAACATACGAAAATTAACATGTACTGGGGGTCGATTGATCGATAATATTAATTGGATCAATTTAATGCAACCAATGCCAACGTTGACTAGAATTATCAGAACATTTAGTGAATAAAAAGCCTTTTTCGGGCCAATAATCCAGACAATACGTGGACACAATCAACTGTTGATTGTTGTTGTCGTAGTGCCAGGATTTAGACAAATCTTGTCGGCAATCATCACTCAATTGGATTTGATTCGAAACCAAATTCGGTATGAGACATTCAACACCGTAAAACAGTTGATTTTCTTGATTCAAACGCAACAATCGACCACGAGGATTACTACTACTACTACTGGCAGCACTACAATAGGAACCAATCATGACAACTTGATTCTTCAATTTTTCGGGAGCCATACACACAGCGTACGCCACGTTGACCAATTGACCAAACTCAACATTACGTGGTGGTGGCCATCCAGATCGAAAAGTTTGCAATTCAATCGAATCATTGTCCACGGTGACATGTTCTCGAGCTTTTTCTGGTCGATGGGAACATGTTGCTGCTGCTGCTGCAGTAGATGATGGTGGACAATCGAGTATTGGATAGTGAACGTAGAATGCATGCAACAGCACGTTTGGATCCAGAAATTCGATGGCAAATTGTCTACGAAGACAGTCAGGTTCGTATTGATAATTGAATGCTCGATGCGTCCGATCGACAACTTGTCCCATCGAATGGACCATCAGCTTGGGCAGTTCGTAGATGAGCGAACACGGTATGACCAGGATACGACCACCACCACCACCACATTTTCGGATTTTGTACGTATAATCCCAGATTACGTGACCGGCATTCGGATTGACCACATGATCGGAATCAAATAGGCCAATCTGCTCGGCATATGATCGAGCTATCGCAAATTGAACCTGGCTCAGAAGATCAACTTTTCTTGGAAATGTTCGAATCGTTTCATTTTTCTTCCATCGATTGACAAAGTGATAATCGGCAACTTGATCCAAGCGAATTTTTCGGGTCTTGAGTGCCCCATCCCAATACACTGCGGATGGAGATTCAACAGAAAAGTAGAAATTATGACGATCGATTTGACCTAAAACCGGTACGGCAACTGTACGTTCGTTTTGGACGATTGGCGCCAATAATGGTATGAGCCAATTGGCCGACACTTCCACATGAGAAGTGAGGACAACCAATACATCACCAGTCACCTGGCTCAATACGTTATGGATGGAACGAGACCAACCAAATCGTTCTTGCGTCTTGAACACTCGAACCTTGCCGTGTTGTACGTTCTCGCCAAACAATAGTGGCAAATATTCCAGGAATAATTCCACCGAAAACATGCGAAATATCTCAATATTGTTGAGCAAGTGTTGTTGGTGGCGGTTGGAATAGATTTCTGAATTCAGATAAGAAAGCGTACCATTCGTGTATTGATTGCAGCAGCCATCGGCCATGACAATCACCTCTTTCAATATTGACCGTGGACTGTTCAACAGCACCGAAAAGATGGTTCGAGTAAGAACGATCATATCTTCTTCATGGAACGGAATGATGACGCTCACTTTGGGCATCACTCTTGGATCATAGTGCCAATGGCGACATTTCCACGGTCTTTCGTCTGAGGCACGACGATCGTATGGAACACGGCGGTTTGTTTTGTCATTCACGCCGAAAGCATTCAATTTGTCTTTACTTGACCAGCCAAACATGTCGAAAATACCGTACGGCAGTTTTCCATACACCGATTGCTCAAATCGACTCAAATCGGTCCATTCGTAGAGATTTTCCAGACGTTCAGAATAGAACATTGTTTGATTGACATCCAGTACAAATCTCAATGATTCTCGAAGATTGGCCACCGCTTCACCCACAGGCACTATGTCCGATGCATTATGATGATGATGATGGTTACACAATAATAATAACCACAATAATACAACAACAACCACAATAACATTCATTGTAACAATGGGACAGAACACAGATGACAAGAACATATTTTATAACACTGCTATTATTTTCAAATTGCTACTTACCTCGAGATCGAACTTGGCTGCTGTGAAAAAAAATTCGAAATTCAATGTATCAAAAAGTGTACACACACACACACACACACAAAATTGTAACAATCACAAAGATTGCATGGAAAATTTACCAAGCCAATATTTCCGTGAAATTTCTGATTCAAATTGAGAGAAAACAAACACAAACACACAACTTTGGAAAAGAAAGAAAACTTTATTCTTTATTAGTAATAATATAATATAATAACAAGACAAACTCAAATGGGATTCTATTTACAACAAGGAAACAACAACCACAACAAAATCAAATCAAACATAAACGTGATTCGGATCTTCGTCGCTTGAAAAGAGGACTTCATCTTGGTCATCGGCGATAGAATTCCAGAATGCAATGGCCACTTGTTCCGCATAACGTTTACGTTCTGCTTCATCCTCCATTTTCGATGCTTTCTCTGTTCGTAGATAGTGACAATGTCTGAGACAACCACCACCACCAACAACAACAACAACAACTAACCTTTCATTTGCGTAAATTTGGACAACATGCTCTCGAACCTGTCAGCTTCTTGTTCGGTGGTAATGTTTGGCTGCTCGTCGTCACCAGGCTGATGACATGTAGAGCTTGATGCAAGACCACTATTCGTCGAGCATTTCAATGTTTCATCACCACCGCAATGCAGCCTATTGATCTGTGTGATGAGCGTATCGCTTGATCCAGATGATATGATGTTGTATGATGAGGAATGTTTCTCTAAACAACAAAACAATCATTACAATCACAAACAATTTATATATGACCCTTATATTTACAGACCTTTGTAGTTGAGATTGGGCCAAACATATGCCTGGATGACCTTTGTATAATCGTTCAAAGCTATCCTGTTCACGCAATTCATCCGCATCACTTTGTTCAGCAATAAGGTGGTCGTCGGGTGCCAGTTCGACTAGCTCGAATCCTTTATCGATGCAATAGTTTTGAATGTCTATCCGTCGAACAACACCTTGTTCGCTGGCATTCTCACAGGAAAGAATCCTGATTGCACAGTTCTCCATCAGATCAATGTACTCGGTCCATTTGTCCAGATTGTTGAGACAATGTTCATCATTGTTGTCCATATAGATTATGATGCCGTGAATGTAATCATAAAATCGATCCGGCAATTCGAGCGGCTCATTCAGTTCGACTAGATAGATTTGAGTGGTATAATACTTGTTATCCAGCATGGCACAGTGACACTGAATCGGTGCAATCTTTTTGGCTCCCAGGTCCAGATTATTGCTATCGAAACGCAACGTTTTCTCGCCATTCTCGAGAACCGGTCGAAATTCGAGATTTGATTTGTCTATCGAATTTTCAATGATTCCTGAAGAAAATTGAAATCACCATTTTCATTCATCACCAAATTCAATAATAAAACATTGACATTTACTTTTGATCCAATCGGATGATGACAATTTGGACGTAGAACTGACGACCAGTATGCCTTGAAATAGATTCTCATCCAGATGGCTGAACATTAACGAATCGTGCATTTCGCTGGATTGATTCATCAATTCACCAAAGCGACAAAAATAATCATTCGCAGCTCACACACAAAATCGAATTTGATGGACAATTTTTGTCAACAAACCACTCTTCTCACTGTAATGAATATATACTTTACTTTAATTCAAACGCCATCTACTGCAAATTGACAAAGCAAAAATTGTATTTATACATTGTAAGTGTGATGGAATTTTTTTTGTTTGGCTGCAAAGAATACACATGTCTGTGGTGATATAGCAAGGCACATTTGAGATGGGTGAACAAAAATCATCTAATCTCTGTGTGTGTTTGTGTACATACAACTAATTCAATGATCAAGGAGATAATATATTGATGCAATGATGAGAGAAATTGAAACACAACATCTCATGGAACACTCATTTGATTTTCATGTTGGCCAACGAAGATTCAATCGACTAAAAGAAATATACAACATTAATATCCAATGTGTGTTTGTGGTGTTTGCTTGATCCAATCTTACCTTGAGATCCCAAATGACCATTTTGCCGTCAACGCCGATGGTCGATATTTGCTCGGTTTTCCTTAGTTTCGAATCGAAATCCGAATAGAGACGAACCTCGAGTATGGTGTTCTGGTGGACCGTATCGAGCATCGTGTTTGACACGGTATTCTCGACCAATGCACGCTTGTCCATATCACGAAATTTTCTCATTGCACTGCATTCATTCATTCATTGATTAATAAATAAATTGAAATTCAATGAAAAGCAACACTCACCTGAAACCGTCGGCTTCTCTCTTTGTCGATTTATCAATTTTGGCCAGAAATCGAATTTCGCCGCTATAATCATCGTAGCAGTAGAGCATGGGACAGCAATCATGACCCTGGTTTTAATCATTGCATTAGCATTCCATATTCACCAAACGTAATGAAATTGAAACTTACCGCTGTGACGAGCAGATTGTCCGAACACCAAACGCACGATAGGAATGGCAAAAATGTGGTTCGCACGTTGATCGGATGCATGCTTTTACGAGAATCGACCACCGAAACACTTGAATCATGAGACACCCAAGCCAATCGAGTACCGTCGGGCGAAAAAGCCACACAATGAACCCAGCCTCCTAGAACCAACAATGATTGATGAACAACAGTCAATAATCAACAACAACAACAAACCTCCGCCTTGTGACGAGTGAAATTCGGCCAACATTGTGCCGATATCTGTTTTTCCATTCCACGTGGCTTTCACTTCATCAGCATTGATTGAATTATCCACGTCACGGACATAAGCTGTGAATACTCGCGTCCGGAAATCGGTAGAACCACATGCCAACAGGGCATTGTTTGGATGCCAATCAATACTTGTTACCGTTGATTTTATCGATTTTTTTATGTGTTTGCTCACCCACCAGTCATTTTGTTCTTCAAAGTAACAGACCGATATCAGTTTCGCACCACAACCAACAGCTAACTTGTCCTCCTTGGGTGACCACCGAACACAAGTCGCAGCCCGATTTATACGAAGTAAAACCAACGTCGGCTTCCATACGCCATCCACCAGCGTCCAAACGTAGCCGTTCCGGTCCTTGGGACAATTGTGGTCAGACAATCTCACAAACAGTCATACACACACACACACACACAGAATACTTACGGCCGAACAGGTCACGATTCGATTTGTTCGTTTGGCCCAATCAATACTGGTCACTCGAAGATCATGTTGGCCCAAAGAACTATTCAGATTCCATTTGCCACCACCTTCTTTGTGATAAATGTGCACTTCATTATTGTTTGGCGATACTGCCAATTCTGTAATTACAAAAAACCGTTAGCTTATTAAATATTATTAAAGTCACTTACTGTCTTTGTTTGAATTGAACGCGTGAGAAGTGATTGGCTGGACGCCAAACGTGTGAATTTCACTGTTACTCATCATCTATTAATACGATACGACGATCGATCCAGGATTCTTCACTAAATCGTATGACTTGATTAACAATCCAAACAAACAAACACACACACACACAACAGCAGCAACAACAGTAGTTAGTGACGTAAACAAATGGGATTGACAGGAAAAGCGAGATATATGAGATGGCGAAACCACCAAACAATGATTGCATGCAGTAACTGTTACTGCTGTGACACATCAATGTAATGGCCAATTTAAGCTCAAAAGATGTTCACATTACGCCCGATCAACACTAATAACTCACCACCAACGCCGACAACAACAAAGATTCTTTTCGACAACCAAAAGTCAATGAATCACGAACAAACTGAACTACGCCCACCAGATGGATTACCGGTGCTGGGAACTAATCTTTTTTTTCTGTAAAGACAGAGATGATGATGATGATGATCAAGACTCATTCATCACTAAACACATTACACATACGCATGCGCGCCACAAAGGGTGAGGTCCACCCCCACTAAAACATATGATATCCATTCATAGAAAACGTATGGCCATGGGATTTGAATCCAATTATCCAATTAACCCATTTAAAGGAATTATTATTATTATAACAATTAATTAGCCCAGATGTATAAATGGAAATCGTAATCGTAGAGCACACAATCAAAGAGATGGCAGCCGAATTTTCCATCCTCTATGTGACCTTTCCAAACATGGAAATGGGCAGGAAAATCGCTCAGTAAGTTTCGACATTTCATTCCATCATCAACTATCCATTCATTGATTACCCATCAAAGTGAACTTTTAGAAAAGCGATTGGCTTCTTTCATCAATCTGATCCCTTCGGTGATGACCATGTATCATGAAGCGGAAAATGTGGCTGCAACCAAAATCAAAACCACCAAAAACAAACAAACAGAACAAATCGATGCAGAGATTCTGATGATGGCCAAGATTCGTTCGACGTTGGCACCGAAAATCCTAGATTTGATGGATCGATTGCATCCATATGACCTACCCGAAATGTATACCGTACGAGTAGGTATCATTATCATCATCATTCAATATATAGTGCACTAATACTACTCACACCATTCATCATCATATGTCTCGTAGATCGATCAAATGAATGGCACATTACGGGACTATTTGGATGCCAATTTGGCCAGAAACATTTAACCAGTGACCAATTATTATTGTCCAATGTACACATTAAACGTTCATAGTGTTGTTCACTTACTCGGTTATTATTTATTGTTAAAGGGCTTTATGTGTGTGTGTATGAGTCATTCTGTTATATCGTGATCCTAATTGGAAAAGGAAGGGGGCAAACAATGTCAGGCAAATAGTTTATCAAAGCACGAATGGCAATAAGGCTTTTCGTTGTGCTTTTTGAAGGTTCCTTTGTTCAATTGTTTCAGGCAAAACGAACAGGTAAAATGTTCCGGGTGATACTTCTGGAACATGGCTGTTATACAACGGCCCGTGATCGGCTGACGACATGATGCACACAGGTTACCTCGTTTGTCGTGATAATGTGGTTCACAGTAAGGTCGTCCCTCAAAATCGAAATAACTTTTGCCCTCGGTAAATGGCGATTTGCAGTCCTGCAACACACAACACAACATTCATGAATCAATTAGCACACGCACACACACACACACACACATACCCGGCATACAAAACAATCCTGATGCCATTGGCCTCCCAATGCGGTTACATAATTGTCCTCGATCGGTTTGGCACAACCCGAACATTTCGGCGCGAATAGTTTGAAAAAATCTTCTCGACAGTAAGCATTACCGGCCTTTTCATGATAGCCTTCATCACCGAAATTCTTGCCGCAATGCGAACAACAAAAGTGTTCCGGATGCCAGGTTTTATCCAATGCAGTGATACATCTCTGAATGAAAGAATCAATCAATCAATGAACAGTGGATGGCATAAAGCAACTCACATCATAGATGGGTTTATTGCAATAATGGCACTTGGGCGAAAACAAACGGTGATAATCCTGTTCACAATAGGCAACACCATCTCGTTCGAAAAAGGTGCTATCACCGAGTTGTTGTTGACATTTGGCACAAACAAAATGTTCTGGATGCCATGTAGTGCCCAAAGCGGTAACCACTTGACCGATGATAGCACGACCACAAGCTTGACAATCACCTTTGGTCGCAGTGGACACACCTTGTTTGTTGAGGTCAATCTCTAGATTGCCAATCATTGAATCCAAATCAGCGCTTAGAATTGGCGCATATCCTTTGTTGGGCACCTGAATCTTTCCCAATGCCATGTAGTTGGCTTTGTTGGTGGTGGCCGTCGTTTTGATCTGGTTGAGCTGCAACGATCAAAACGATCGTGAGTGACACAAAGGTGACACAAAAAACAAACACTCACCTTAAAGTCGGACAATGAGGCCATCAAATCGTCAAGTTCGCGGGTTGCATGCGATACAGGACCGTGACCGCCAGATGGTAACGGAACTTGAATCACTGGATTCTCATTCATCTGAGCTTTCTGTGGTGTGATATTCACCAATTGTCGATTGTATTCGGAAACGGGCTCAATTCGAGCTTGTTGTGGCCGATTACCGCCGTCGTCATACATGACTGTCGTAGTGCCTCCAACACCACCATTAATGCTAGGTTTGCTTCATATTACAAACACATACACACCCAATCAATGAAGAACAAGAACATGAACGAGGCAAACTTACTTGTATGCTGAAGATGATGATGATGGGGAAGTTGTTGCGTTTTGCAGATTGTACTCCAGATTTCTAATCAAATCATTCACCTGATCACTGTCGGTCGAACGTTCTCTTTGTTGGCGAGAAGCGTTGCCATTCGTCAGATAAGGACTGGTAGCACCGTTCGTTATGGCTGTATTGTAAACGAATGGGAAAAAAAGTATGGTAAAAATCCACAAGTCACAATCGATAATGAATAGTATATAAGGGGACAGGAAATGACGCCAGGACGCGGCGGCAACCAGAACCTTGAAAAGTGATCATCATCGTTTTTTGCAATGTCTTGTACGAAGCAAAAAAGCAGTTGTGTTGTTGAACGTAATGTGTGTGTGTGTAACTGAATGAATAAAATCAATGTCTGGATGGCTTGCTCATTTTTGTGCAATCAACAACCACACTTCCTACACTAAATAGCGATGACCATTTCGGGGATATGGTTGCAAAAACAAGAGTAGGCATCACCACACACACACACACACACACAAGTGCACATAACACATGTGTCCATAAAAGGCAAAAATTCAAAAGCAAAGCAAAGCAAACATGCCTGCATTGGAATTGGCTTGCCGTTCCAAGCTTCTATTGTGGTGGTGGCCGTGGCGACCGGATTCGGCTGATGCTTTGCTACCATTGAGTTCATAGCTCAAACGGGCTGCATCCAAATCATCAAGCAAATTGTTAATCATGCTGATCTTTTCCGTTATGACATCAACATCGCCATCGGTCGAATTTGGTTGATTATGGTTGTTCTTGGTGGTCGTCGTCGTTGTCGTTGAATAGATACCTTCATAGATGGGTGATGTACCATTGCGTCCATTTATCGGTGCATAATCGTGATCGGCTGATCCTCTGGCTAACATTTGTTCATTCTGGTACAGAGGCTGTGTGTGTGTGTGAATGATCAACAGTTAGTAAGAGTAATCAAAGTAAAATAGTTGGATTCTACATACCTCGTCGTTAACGTAATACTGGGGACTGTAGTGTTTGGCCACTTTGGCTGTACTGTAAGCTGGTTGTGAAGATATTGTCGGATCATGCGGTTTGCTCAGCTTCCACGTCCCACCGCCACTACCGCCAATCGGATGCGTCTTCAATGTGGATGTGGCTCGCTCCAAATCCTGTAGTAACGAATCTAAACATTGAACGTTTAATTAACAAACAGTGGGTGTGTGTCTGGTAAATTGACGAAAAAAAGTTTCCATCGGATAATATAAACAATCCATCACTCATCAAACACACATCAAACACACATCAGACAGACAGACAGACAGACCTTGGATTCGTTCCATGCCTTTTTTCCGATACATTATTGATCAATTGATGATGATCACACGGAAGCAAATGAACAACAAAAACAAACTTGGTCACTACTGCTCTGCCGACTCCAGGACCAATGTGCAAGTCCAGAGACAGAGATGAGATTAATGCTTTATGCACACACAACCAAAGTCAAACGCAAATCTTTGCCCACCAAAAATAAGGTTGTATTCGATGGATTCACTGATGGTTATTGCCAGCCGATGTGCAAAATACACACACACACACACACACATTCCTATCGGCCAAATGGCGGCAATAACGAACTACGAATGAATGATATTTCTCCAACAACAACAACAACTGTGAATTTCACATTCACTTTAATTCTATTTATAGAATCCAACCTCTCTGAACACAAACACACACGCACACATCTCTCTTTTTCCCTGCCAAACTGTCTTTACAAATTAGCAACCATCAACAAATCATCAAACAACAACATCGATTGTATTAGATTCGTGGTAGAATGTGTGTACAACACCCATAAACCAAACAGGCATAGGGCGTCATTTTCCGATTCGATTCGGGTATCGAAATTTCGGGTATTTTCCACCATACCATAAATCATCATTTTCACTTGCTTTTTGTTCTGATCTAACGGTCATCCTAAATCGATGAATGCATGTTTGTATGTGTGGCAATAATCAAAGTGAAGCCTACATTTAATTGCCAAAATTGGATAGCTGTCAATGACGACTGAGCGAAGCATCAAGGCATTCTCAATAATCAACAATTCAATTAGTTCAATCAATCACATCAACAGAGTTCTAAAGATTTGATGGCCAAATTTGACCGATACATTCATATAATAAATTCAAATTCATTATATGAGTAATGAGCAAACATTGACAATTTGCTCTCGATTCGTTTGGGCAAACGTCCAAATAACCGAGCAGATGTTTGCCAATCATTCATTCATTCATTCAGTTCAGAGAATTCGCAAGCTTGACTTACCCAAATCATCCATATTCGTGAATACTACTCTATTAGTGAGGCAAAAACTTTTGTCACTTTGATGTGTTTTGAGTGTTGTCGGCCTCGAAATTTTCTCTCCCAAAATGATGACTACGATTATAGCTCACGGTCTCTGTTGATGTATGTTGTTGTCACATATGATGATGGTGATGATGTGTTTTTACACAATCAACAACATTAACACGAACAAATTAAATTCTGAGATATGAGATAATCAATGTCCAAATCAATTGGATATCCAAGATGGATGGTCAATTCGTTCAAACATACGATGCTCGCAATTTTCATTGTTTGCATATACGATTTTTGTAGTCTAGGAAACCAAAATCAAAATCAATGTACAACGTATTTGAGCAATTACATAGTATTAGTATTAGCAGTATTAGCACACACATATATATGTGAAAATAACAACAAGTTAACAAACACACTCAATGATGCCTTTTATTTGCTCATCTATTTGGTTTGATCATCATTGATTCACCGATTCACCACATGACGACAATTACAATGACCACTTGGACAGTTTTATCAATAATAAAAATTTGTCAAAACAAACAGTGTAGCCATCTAGCGTTGTTAGGCATGTTGTTAGACATTCAAACCGAACGATAACCAGTAAAGACGGTAAATGAGCTAACCCGTCCATGAAACCTTGATGTCGAATGTTGAAGGGAATGTTGTTCTCACCCAACCGAATGTTGCTATCCACTCTCGACATTGATAGAGTTGAACTTGTCCGACGCCACAAACCGGAAAGACAAGATTATTGAATTTACATTGACCGTCGCCATCCTACGCACGCACCACAATATCTTTGACCAAATTTGGCTCAATACAACTTCAGACAACCCGTCCCGACGATGCATGAGCAGATTTATTTATACCTGGCCTCATTTCAAGACGCCCACATACACCTATGTGTGTCATGATGAGAAAAAAGAAACATTTCTTTATTCAAGTAGATTATGATGATGATGATTAAACATTAGACAAACGAAATACGCGCTATGTGTGTGGTTGTGATTACAATGATGAGACAATGCGCTAAAAAATGATCAATAACATCATGCTGTCAATTAGTAATGGGAAAGGGCTAATTAATTCAGTATGGCTTTGGTCGTCGGTCGCTCATCGGTGGACCACGCATAGGTCCAAAATCGCCACGGCCACCACGTGGTGGACCACCACCACCACGCCCTCTCATTGGCGGCCGATTTCCGCCACGCATCGGTGGACGATCACCGGGAGGACCACGCATTCCATGCGGACCCATTGGCGGTCCATCTCGTCGACCAGGTCCGCCGCCCATCATTGGAGGACCACCACCACCACCACGTCGATCCATCGGTGGAACAGGAACATCGCCCGGTCTTGGAGCTTTGCATCGATTACATTGATCCCGCCATGAAAAGTTGTTGTTGTTACAGCCAGGACAGCGCCAATCGCCTTGTCGAACGAAACCGTTATCTCGATTACGACCACCACCTCTATCACCACCACCACCGCCGCCGCCACCACGTGGTGGACCTCCTCTTCCGCCGCGTCCACCTTTGTAATCACCACCTGCAGGCAATTTACGCTGGGCAAATTCCACGTTCAATATTTTCCCGGTTCCAGGCAATTCTTTGCCATGAAACCATTGAATGGCCGATTTGGCTGTATGTGGATCTTCATAGGTTAAGGTAGCTTCGCCTTTTCCTTCTCCAGTTACTTTGTCGCGATAAATCCAAATCTTGTGTTTCTGCGATCTATCTGTCTATATATTTATGGTAATAAAAACAGACATGATTATTAGACATTTATTATCCACATCCAATGAGTGACACTTACCTTGATGATACCGATAGACCCAAAATGACTTGACAATTGATCTTCGGTCACGTCGAGTGGCATTCCCGAAATGAAAATTGTATCATTCTCGACATCGGTCGGTTGGGCCATATAACCACCACCACCACCACCACCACTACCGACAGCCGATGGCGGCGGCGGCGGTGGTCCTCCATTTCGACCAGGGGGTGGAGGTCCAGCTTGATCAGGAAATTGAACAAGAATTAGTCAATTTAATCACCATAATTAGTTTCATCATGCATATCTTTCTGTTTGTTTCTCTCACTCTCTGCTGTGTGTGTGTGTGTGTGTGTGTGTTTGTATGATTGTGAAAACTACACAATGTCAACAATCAACCCATTCACAGTGATGGTAGTTGTAAATTAAACCGAATGATCATGATAAACCATAATTGCATAACATTGTTTACCTTTGAAACCACCTGGGCCTGAATTACGGCCACCACCCATTGGTCCACCTCTGTTTTTTCATGTGTCATTACACCAAGCACACACACAATACACACCACGTCATCAAAATCATTTGATTGAACAATTGTCATTGATGTATTGATTGATAGATAGATAGATCCCGTTATGGATGTCATAAATAAATAAAAATAAAGAGAGAGAGAGAGAGAAAAAGTTATGAAGATAAAACACACACAATTAGATTGACCATAATACACATAACATCAACACTGGTCATGTGTGTTTTGTTTTTGAAAACCCAGTTATATATACACCACAATTATTTAGTGAAATGAAGTGTGCCGCGTGTTTGATTACACTTGATTGATGATGTTATCACCGTGATGTTAAACATTGACCCAATTCAATACTCAAAATACACTTAATACCCGGACTGTGAAAGAGACGCAAGTTAGTTATAACAACAATACAAAGAGAATCAGACGACATACATGTCAATTTGATAAATACCTTTGTGTAAACAAACAAAACATATTCTTCTATATGGCAATCAACAGCCAAACACTCTTTTTTCTTGATTGACAAATGAACCTTTTCAATGAACCCAAGTGTGATTGATTCATCTTCATAGAGACAACAACCGTCGTTCATATTCTCGCAGTGTAAGTGGTAATTTCAAAAACCCATGTCCAGTTATAATGTTTGAAATAGAATTTACCTGAAATTTCCTGGACCAGGCGGTGGTGGTCCATTTGGTCCGCTAGGGGGAATTCCTCGATTCATGCCATTGCCAGCGTATCCACCACTATAGCCATTTGGTCCTGATCCATAATTGGATTGAGGTCCAGGAGGAGGAGGGGGACCGCCACTTGGTTGCCATCCTACTGCTTGTGCATTTGGTGCGTTCGGACCTTGTTGTGGTGCATTTCCATATTGAGCCTGATATGGTGCTGGTGGTTGTGCTGGATTTGGATTCGAACCAGGTTGACTTTGGTAATAAGTGTTGGCGCCATAAGCTTCCGATCCAGTAGCGGCTCCATATCCAGTAGATGCAGGTGGTGGTGGTTGTGGAACAGCATTCGATGCTGCATTGGGTGGTGCAACATTAGCATTTGCAGCTTGTGCATACCCCATATATGCCTGTTGTTGGTTTTTCGTATCTATTTTGTGTCAAAATGATATCGGTCAGCAACATGGTCAATGGTCATCATATCATCATTACCGTAAGTTGGCTGAGTTGTTGTATACGAAGAATATTGATCCGAAGTGGGTGCATGTTGTGGATATGAACTGCCGTATGGATTGTTGGCACCTGTTCCATATGCAGGAACTACATTAGCTGCCGTACCTTGTGGGGGTGGCGGTGGTTGACCGGCTGGATTCGAGTAATATCCAGCGGTTGCAGGATAACCTCCATAACTAAACAGTAATCATCAGTATCAATATAAAAATCCATGCGACAAACAAACTTACCCTGTGTTTTGCATGATGAACAAATCTAAATTGATAACGGAAAGAAAAAATTATCTGATTGAATTATTGAACCAATTGCGATCATCTATTAATATGTATGAGAACTCGAGCGAATGAAACAATGGAATGAAAACAACACATGAGCACATGAGCACAACGAACGAGTGGACTCGTCCGCCGTTCATGAACGACGTGCTCTTCATCAATATACCGTGGTACTTCGGTTAATTTATATTGCCGAAAACCTAAACATTGCCATACTTTGGATATCTCAACAGGAAATTGTGTTGACATTCAACAATGAAAAAAAAATTGAAAAATCGTCATATTCAAATTTACCAGTGAACTATGATAATCTCTCACAAGTCAGCAACAACATTACTAAGCAACAAACCATGATGCCACTATGTTTGAATGGGTAGGATAAATTCACTGTAATATAAAATTCATCATTTGGCGCGCTCATTTTGACCGTTGAATTGTATAAACACTGTGTGCGAAAATAGTAACTAGATCACTAGATTTTGTTTGAATTTGTCATTGCGTCTATCACCAGACATTATCAATCAATCAATTTTCATTATGGAAGATAATTTATTTTACGGTTATCTTAGTTATCATCGCAAAGATTCCAAAAAGAATTATTCGATACGCAAACGAAACATTACAATCGGTAGCCAAAAAACAAATGACATACGGTTAAAAAAAGGTATATCTGATCGGAAATATCTTCAACTATCGATCGTGAATGAATGCAATTATAAACTGGACATTTGTACATGTAAGCATGTTGTTGTCATTATATGATGATTGTTGTAATCTGAAATTTTTCCCAACATAGCTGTTCCAACTGTTCGAGAGAACATCGCAATCGATGATGCAAAAGTTTTTCTTGAGCACGAATCCATTCAATTAAAAGATGGCAATGTTCTATCAATTTTTGGACTAAATTTTACATTCGTCGCCAATAAAGCTGATAATAAATCAAACATTACTAAATCAGCATCGAAAATTCCTGTCTTGAACAAGTTGAATCTTTATTCCGATAAATCATGTGGTTCACCAAACAAAAATCTGGCTACAAGTTTTCCATTGGTTTGTTCGACATTGGCACAAAATTCAAAGATTCCAGTGTCCGTTCATACACCCAAATTGATTAATTTGAATGATGATACGTGTACACCTTCACTGGCCATATCCAGTCACGAAAATAATGATTCAACATTGCAAAATGATCAACAATCTTGCGTTGCACATATGGATGATAATGATGATAACGACTCAGATAATAATGAAAGAACTTTCGAAATAGATCGGGACGAATCAATGCTGCTAAAGTTTAATACACCATCTTCTTCGAAAATTGGCTCCAAATCCTTGAAATCCTTATTGAAAACGGCAACACCAATAAATATGGAAACAACAAATCGGAAATCGGTTGTTTTCAATGAGCTTGTGGAAGAAAATCACAGTGAATATGATAGTCGTACTGGACAATTATTTTCTTCAACAAAAATGTCCAGAAAACTATTCCCCATTTCACCTGATCAACAAACATCGAATGATGAACAAGATGAACTGAGTGTTTTTCTACAACATGCTGAAATTGACTCGTTCAAAGAACAATCAACACTCTATCAGGATGCCGTCACCGAAGTGTCGATTACAAGTCAGGACTTTGTCTCATTCATTGACAGCACTATGACTAAAGAGCAATCAGGTAATTGGTTAATCTTTTAATCTCTAATAACAACAATCGTTTCAATTTAAACATCTAGATTCCGAATCAGATGAACTTGGTCAACTTTCACTAACGATAAGCAATCATGATGAATGCAAAGTTGATGGTAAACCTGACATACTTGTCGAAAAACAACTTGGCACCCCAGTAGCTGATTATGATTCGAATGTCGATTATGGTGTAAAAAAACTACAACAACCGACAACACCGTTGGCTAATTACGAATCAAATGTTGACTATGCCATCAAGAAATTACAACAACCGACAACACCAATGGCTGATTATGAATCGAATGTCGATTATGGTGTGAAAAAACTTCAACAACCGACAACACCGATGGCTGACTATGAATCAAATGTTGACTATGCCATCAAGAAATTACAGCAACCGACAACACCGATGGCTGATTATGAATCAAATGTCGATTATGGTGTAAAAAAACTTACAACAACCGACAACACCGATGGCTGATTATGAATCAAATGTCGATTATGGTGTAAAAAAACTTCAACAACCGACAACACCGATGGCTGATTATGAATCAAATGTCGATTATGCCATCAAAAACTACAGCAACCGACAACACCGATGGCTGATTATGAATCAAATGTCGATTATGGTGTAAAAAAACTACAGCAACCGACAACACCGATGGCTGATTATGAATCGAATGTCGATTATGGTGTGAAAAAACTACAGCAACCGACAACACCGATGGCTGATTATGAATCAAATGTTGACTATGCCATCAAGAAATTACAGCAACCAACAACACCGATGGCTGATTACGAATCAAATGTCGATTATGGTGTAAAAAAACTACAACAACCGACAACACCGTTGGCTGATTACGAATCAAATGTCGATTATGGTGTAAAAAAACTTCAACAACCGACAACACCGTTGGCTAATTACGAATCAAATGTTGACTATGCCATCAAGAAATTACAGCAACCGACAACACCGATGGCTGACTATGTAACATACATTGATTTTGGTATCAAAAAACTTCAAAAAAGCATTACACCCTTACCTGAATATGATGGCAATCTATCCGGATTCGAGAATCTTTTCTCAGTCGACGACTTGAATATGATTACGCCAATCAAGCCAAGAGGTAGAGGACGTCGACCTAGACAGGTACAAAGAATTGAAGATAATGAAAATCGAATTCTAACACGTAGTGCAGCAAAGAATAAAAACAAGAATGAAGAAAAAGAACCATCAGCGGAAAAATCGGCAAAATGTAAAAAACAATCAACCGGCAACAAACGACGTCGTAAAATTGACAAAGATGAGATTGGTCTTCTCATTGATAGCGATAATGGAATTGGTTGTATTAATATTCTCCTTATTTTATCAAACCCAATTTATCGTTTTTTCTTTTGTTTCAGAATCTGATGAAGTTGATATAGAAAAGATTCGAGAATTGGCCGCAATCAATTCTAAAAACCACATGTGGATCATTTTCAAAAACGTTCTCGTGGCTCCAGAAAACAATCAGCAAATAATGATAGATTGCAAACAATCGACATCGAACTGGATGACTATCAGTTAATGGATGCAATGGCTAAAACGCCGATAACTAGTAAAAAGACTAAAGTGAAAAATGCAACTCGCAAGAGAAAAACAGCAACGACAATGGATGAATCGACGTCCAAAAACAAAACCATCAAAAGCAAGCGCAAAACTAAAGCCAAAACCAATGATGATCATGACCATGATGAAGATTCTAACAACGAAGCCAAGGAAAATCTTAAAAATGTCGTCAATTGTGAGCCAAAACCGAATGAACCTAGAAAATATCGGTACATATTGCCGGAAGTGGATTTTTCCATGCGATTGGAACAGAAAGAACCGAAAAGAGCCAAAGGAGTTGTAACACGGTCGCGTGCCAAACATATCGAATGAAGACGAAACAAATCATCGACCACCATATTCCATAGAACATAAGTTAATTTGAAACAAATTTCATTATTCTCTGCCAATACATCATTGTTAAACATTTATTGATGATTACATGCACGTTTTTTAATAATAAAATAAGTTATTATACATGACACTATACAATCAATCATTATTTAGGGAAATCCTACAGTTTGAGTGTCGTAACGGATGAATAGGCACGAATCGATTGATTACATTTCCTATGCATTTTATTAAGAATGAACTGGAATCCTTGTTGATTTATGCAACAGATGCTGCATTCAACTGGACAAAACTCAACAAATCAATGTCAACATCAACACAATTGAATTGAATTGAATTGAATGATTTTGTTGATTTTTTTCTTTCGAAGCACTTGTTACACTACGGTTTCAGGTTTCCATATGCAAACACGTTATCTTTTCGTTTTTACAATTTTTTTACAATTCAAGTGTCTATGAAAGCTGACAAAAAATGTTAACCATAAGCGATAAACTTTTTTGCTATTGCCATAAAATGAAAATCATAAATTTTGATAAATAATTTTGTGGTCGCAATAAGTGAATTTCGTTGCCACACTCACACATTGATTGGTAGAGTGTAGGGATAAAGTTTCATTTTTTTCCTGTTGCAAATCATCATCATCATCATCATAACCATAAAATCAACAAATCAGAATTGCCTCTTTCTTCATTCATTCATCATCGTCATCAGAGAATCGTACAAAATGAATGCCAACAATAATCGACATTATTATCCATTGGATAAGTAAGTCAATTATCGATTGATTGGAGATTATCTGATCAGGCTAATTTGCTAATCAATCATTATTAGATGGCATCTAATCAAAATTGTATTCATACTGCACGGAATATCAGCTCTATTACCATGGAATATGCTCATCAACGCAGACAGTGTAAGACATTTTGCTCTAAAACTTCATTTGAACACATTCATTAATTTAAAGGCAATGTGCAATAGTATTTTGTCGATTACAAATTAGTTCGGCCAAATCAAACGACAACAGCGCCGTTTTCGTTGGACAATGTTGATGCTGGATTGAATATAACGGAAATTATTCATTCGGATTTATTGGAAAATTATCGACAAAATTTTCTACCATATCTAAGTACAGGTAAGATTTGAATGACATTGCAATTTTCTGCTAGCAGTTAAATAATCACTTGACAATCAAGCATCAAAAGTGCCAAACATTATCTTTCAATTGGTCAATCTATTGTTTAGTTCAAGGTAATAGACCCACTTGTCATAGACATAACACATAGTTTCATAGCATCATCATTGAATTCTAGTCCGCGATCGTATCGAATTCGAATGAATGTGTCATTCTTGGTGCAGATTGCTTTGTTCATCATAATGATTGGATTGGCTTTCATCGATACAAGTGAATGGCCGGTAGTGTTTTTCTGGATCACAATGATCATTGCCGTTCTATTCAATACGGTCAATGGAATCTTTCAAAGTTGTATATATGGGTTTGTGGCCAAATTTCCAATGAAATATATCAACTTTGTCACTTTTGGATTCAGCTTTAGCGGCACCATTGCATCCATCTTCCTGATTGTCTCGTTAATGTTATCACCTCATCCAAGAACGGTTGCATTGTACTATTTTTCTTTTGCAACCGCATTCATGATTCTCTGCTATGTCAATGAAATATTTCTCACCAAAAACGTATGTGAAACCAGTGATGATCGATTCCTAATTAACAATGACAACCAATTATAGCGTTTCTTTAGGTATTATTTCTATGGACACGCAAATCAAAAATTAGCAGCCCACGATAATCCATTACAAGTACAGGCCAAGAACGGAGATTTGCAAATGGACAATGTCAACAACATTATTCAACATGAAAATGAGAAAAATGAGAAAATGACAATCAAAACATTCAAATTGGTGTGGAACAAATGCTGGATTCAGCTGATGAACTCGGTTCTCATCTACTTTTCAACGTTTGTCATATTTCCGGCCATCCAAGCGGCAATCAAACCACTTGATTCGATCGTCGAACAAAAATTCTTTGCACCTGTGTTTTGTTTTCTATTTTTCAATACGTTCGCTTCCATCGGTAACTATGTGGCCGAAAGGATACGTAGACCAGAACCAGCTGGTCTTATATATCTGGTTGCCATTCGATTTCTGTTCATACCATTCTTTCTGTTTTGCAACTATATTCCTGATCGACGAACATGGCCAGTATTGATCCAAAGTGATTATGTTTACATTCTTGGCTCGGCATCACTAGCATTCTCCAATGGTTATGCATCTAGTCTAGCAATGATGTATGCACCGAAATGTGTGCCGCAACAATATGCTCCCATCAGTGGAATGATGGCTTCAGCAGCCGTCATCATCGGTAAGCATTACATATTCACAATCATCACTCTCTCATCATTCATCATTGATTTTCAACAGGCATCATAATTGGAGTTCAATGTTCCATGCTGTTTCAAGCATTAATAACATGAACAACTATTTTTCAATAATAAACTTGGACATAGACATATTCAATGATATTTAATTTTGCAATTTTCGATAATAAAAAAGAAATTTGATTTGATTTGATTTGATTTGATAGATATCATCGATAAGTGAGAGATTCGATATAATACTATTGGATGATTACAATACATGAGCATGCTCCCATCCATCCATACGGTTATTTTGTTTGGCTTCGGCTATTTTTATTTTTATCATCTATATCTATATTGATTGATGATTGAAAACATGTGAGTAAATGGCCAAAATAAAATTGTTAATTGTAATGGGACCGAGCGGCTGTGGCAAGAGTACCATTGCCAAAGAGTTGGCCAATCGTCTTAGCAATGGTAGTTATGTGGAAGGTGATCAATTACATCCAAAATGTAATGTGGACAAAATGTCTAATGGTACTGTATGTAGTTCATTCAATTCATTTCAATCCAACATAACCCAATTATTGCATAGCAATTCCTCTTGATGATGATGATCGTTGGCCATGGTTACAATTGATTCGTGAACATTGTGAAAACAAAGCCATTGAAATCAACGATGAATTGGATAATGATGATCGAGATCGAGAACACTTTATAATTGTAACATGTTCGGCGTTGAAAAAAATCTATCGGGATCGATTACGACAAATTCAACATGTAGAGTGGATCAAATTCATCTTTCCAAATGGATCACAGCACTTGGTTAGAGAAAGAATCAGCCAACGAAAGAATCATTATATGAAATGCAACATGCTAGCATCGCAATACGCGTGTTTAGAATCACCTGTCGAATCCAACGAAAACGATGTCATCCAAGTCGATATAGAACAATCAATTGATACGATCGTTGAGGCAATTATCAATCATCATCAATTGTGTGACTAGTAAATGTAAAATCTATACGTTTATTTTGACAAATTGCCTCCTTGTCTATCTTTTTTGTTGTGATAATTTACCAAAAATTCTTCAATATTTGAGCCTAAAATTTTCTGAATGAAATAAATTCTAAATTATCCATCTAATCATCTTATTATATCATTATCTAGTATTAATTATTAATATATTTACCTCAACTTTTTTATCCACCATTGATGCACGTTTGGAATTGCGGAGAGAATCGTCAGAACTTGCGGATATTCTTCTTTTTTGTTGATTAACATTATTTTGTTGTTGATGATTATGAGAGGAAATTTTTTGCAATTGCATATCGGATTTGCGTCTATTCGTAGATTGTGATTGATGATTACCAGTCAATACTTGTTGATTGGATGGAGGATGGATCGTTGAGCTATTAGTCTGTATCTGCCTGTTTTGTGAATCACTAATCCGTTGATGTCTTTTTCCTTTGCTCAGAATACTAGGAACGGCTCGAAGTGACTCGATACGACTGTTTTGTTTTGACTGCTGTGTTGATTCTTCTTGGACAATACTTGGATTCATCATTGATTGATGATTGTCAACAACAACGGCCGTCGGCAAATTGATCGTCGGTTTTGTATCAGTAATGACTGTATCGGTGCTACAAGTTGTTATTGCATTTGTGGTCAGCGCCGAAGATAGATGATTTATGTTGGATGAATCGATGTAATAGATTGTTTCCTGCGTAGTAGTAGCAGTAGTAGTGGGATAGGATAGATAGACTACACCTTGTTGATCACTCCATGCTATCGTCTGATTATTCGGAATTATGACTGGTTGCGTGAGATTCGTATTGGGTGCTGACCAATTCTGTATGGACAAAACTTCCACATTCGAATCCGATTGTGGTGGACAAGTTTGAGCTGTAGCTTGAGTAGTCATTGTTGCTGCTGGCTTTGGTTTATTATTATCATCATCATCATCATCATCATCACCACCACCATTAACCAATTCAATGGTTGTTGTCAATGCTTTTTTATCGTCATTATTCTTATTGAAAGTGTTGTTGTTGTTGTTCATTGTGGCTGAACAATTTTTCAATGCTTCTTGAACCTCTTTTTGTTTATTATTGATTCGACTGAATTTTGACACAAAATTATGATTCTGAAAGATTGGCTTGATTTTCGTGCAAGAACTAGCTGCTGGATTATTATTATTAGTAATAGTAGTAGTATTAGTAGTGATGCACTCATTAGCAGATGATGTATTGTTAGATCTATTAGCGATAACCGACCCTCTATCCGGTGTCTTTAGCTCGTTTATCAAATTTTTCACAGGCATCACTTGGCTTTGATTTTTCACCTTTGAATTTTGCTCACTACTTGTCGGCGTCATAAACATATTGGGCGTATTCAACGATGAGTTCGAAGTACAACTTGGCGTGTTCAAGTGAATTGATTTAAAGGGCGTATTGGCAATTTCCTTTTCCACCACTATGTGCACGAAATCCTGAAATTCAGGCTCGTCGGCCAGTGAACTCAATAATTCGTCCATCGTTTCGATTGGAAGCAGATCATTTTCAATATCACCAATCTTATTCTCTGAATCGGCTGAACTTTTGAGCTCTTCCGATCTTTTAATGCTTTCATCGTTCTCTTGTTGTTGATTCACATTCTGAACATCATTCGGATTATCTTTGACATCGATAATTTTCTGAATGGTATTGGCAACTTTATCTTGCAATGGACGATATTTCAGTAGTTCATCAAAGATAATTTGTGGTTGGACTTCGATATCGATTTCAGACGATTCACAAGCCATCGAGGAGATTGGCGATGAACTGGCCACCTGTTGAATCGGATCAGATGATCGGCAATGAACCGATAAATCCGAATGAAATTGTTGCTGTTGCCTTTGATATGGATGTTGATTCAACAATCGTTTGGGTGTTGCACTTTTTCGTCGAGGAGAATAGGCATTCAAATTTCTTGATTGGAGAATTTTGTGCCTAGAGTTTGAGTGTGTGGAAAAACCAACTTAAATGCATTGAAGTGAATATAAACGACACTTACTTTGGTGTGGATAAATGGTTAACGTTTCGAGGTTGTGATTCCATGGTAATACCATCTTTGACATTCGTTTGATGATACAAATTATCATACGAATAAGTGGTAATATTTGGAAAATCCATCATTGTTTGTACAGGCTGAATGGTGCCAAGTCGTGAGAATTTTCCATTAAGCGTTTCGACCAATGACATATTATATGGTTTCGTTGAATACTGATAGCCACTTTTGATACCTTGAGCAAATTCACGTAGATAAGGTGATTCATCAAGAAAAAGTTGAGCTGTTCGCACACAATTCGTTTCGAGTAGATAGCCATATGTTAATCGGGCTATATCCGATGGCATAAGACATTCATTAGACATTTTGTTTCACAATGATCCACATCATATGCGTGTGTGATGTGATGGATACAAAATGATTTTTGAAATGTGAAATCCACACTCAAACAAACAAACAAACAAAATAGTAGACAAACAAAGCAGTAGCAAATGATACAATCGAAATTGGAAAAAATGATACAATCGATACATGAAAACTCGACTATCCAGCCATCTATACTCTGGACAGTGGGAAAAAATATTCAAATTTCCAATTAAATAATTCCAAACCAATATATATTTTTATTAATTAATTATGGCTGATGATATGAATGACAAAAGAATTATTCAGTGAATCAGTGTTTCCATTTCAGTAGATGGGAAAAAGTATGAGACCGACGACGAAAAATCGGCCATTGGATCAAATCAAGTTTATACAATAAAAAAAAATTATTAAATCCACGATTCAATAATTGTATGAAAAAAATAATTGATTGGTTATCAATAAATCAATAAATCAATAATAAATAAATAATGAATGAATAAATAATCATGATTGTTTGTTCATTGAGTGTGTGGAGAGAAAAAGTGACAAAAAATTGTTCGTATCACGAAAAAGTTAAGAGTTTGTTGGTGTTGTTTTCTCGTTAAAATGTAGATGATGAAAATGAGCTAAATGAGTCGAACGTAAATGATCAAAGTAATGATTTGAGTAATTTATCGAATGTATTTGAGATGGGCCGGTGTATGCCATCGTTTTCGTGTGAAATAGATGATTGTAAATATGTACATGACAATCAAAAAGGCAAACAATATTGCCATTGCATAGATTGATGTTCTTGATGCACATTGCTGTTGTAGATTCAACATGACAGAATCGGTTTTGTATACGGTCGTGTCTAATTTTAATAAACAAATTCATTATTACAATCAAATATCGATAATCGATAGCAAACAACAACAACACTTACTGTTCATTGGATTGAGATTTTCGTTGACATCGAGAACAAGAATTTCTTTACTTAGAGTCATTTCATCATCGGTGTCCTGATTGGATAAGGAAACTGAACGGCGTCTTCTTCCCCATGATTCAACATTATCTCGGCCCACACCACAGATGACTGGTTCACATTTTCCAATACAATATTTGACATTGCATTGGAATATGACGCCATACGATTCAGTGAATCTGAACGCTTCATAGGTGCTTTCCAATGCATTACCAATTTGATAAAAACTTGGGAAAATCGAGTTATCCACAGGACAACTAAACAAACACATTGACGGTGAGCAAAACAAAGTCAATCAATCAATCAATCAATCAATGGTCAAACACACTCTTACCCATGCTCATCGATGATTTCGAATGTACTTCGTGAATCTTTAGCCATTGCCACACAACTTCGAGCAAATATTCCATAGGGTGTGCTTTCCGGTATTTCGATACGGAACGAAAGTCGATCACCAATGCGAACGGTCGATGCTTCACGACCATCACTGCCGAAAATGGTAATCTTTGGCAATGGAGCTTCTGGTGCCGAAGTGATTTGCAATGTATCAGGATCTCTGACTGGCATCATTCCGAATGTAACATTTCTGGATGTCGTTTCATATGTACATCGTACATGATAGACTTTATCCGCTTTGGTGAGAACAACATTATGGTGTTGTAGTACCACAGTGTTCGTGTACATTCCACCCAACGATTGTGTATTACAATCTTGGCCACCCAATGAAATGTCCAGTGTGAATTGCTGACTATTACGAACATTTAGATTACAAGTTTCACTGCGACCTAATGCATAGATACGGCCATGAAATGGTCGACTTGTCTGTACGTTCACAACGATTTTCGTGTCCGTACATTTCAATGCCACATCATAGCAAACACCATACGAATCACAGGATGGTTCAGATCCTTCCTGTACGATGGGAACATTTGAAATTGTTGATATGGTGGGCGGTAATGTTGCTATCGTCGATATGACAGATGGTTTGCCATTCGTACTGCTCATTGAAGATGATGCCATCGATGTGGTCGTCATAGATGATTGCTGTTGTTGTACATTTTTATTATTTGTATCATCTACATGAAAAACAGAAAATCATTCATTCATTCATTCAGTCATTCAGTCATTCAATAGACAATCATACTTGCACATCCAGCTTCGAAATAAGTGGCACTAGAATCACCACTATCCAACAATGGTATCGGACTAGGAGTGGCGAACGTATCTAAACCATCGGGAAATGTTTTATGATCAAGATGATAAAGGGCACAATTCGGTTGGCCAGGTTTGAAACTTGGCCGATAAAGCACAGAACGACATATGAATTCGTTTTCAATTGTACAGGCTCGAAGACATCCTCCTTGTGATTTAACCTATTCAACATGAATAACATTCCTATTCACATATATGGTTCAACATTGTGCTATACATACCAGTAGTTCTTTATCTGGATAATAATTTAATTCAACATAATGAGCAACCTTATTGAATGCCATTCCAACTTTGGCGTAATCATAGATACGTTGATCTGGACATACTTGTTCGGCTAAAAAAAAAAAAAACAATCCTTTATTCGCTCTATATCTACTTATTATCATCAACAAACACTTACATCGTAGACAAGAGTTTTCAAAATAATCGATTCCTTGCACATCGACCAGATCTTGTGGGAATCCAATCGGACTACGACGATCATATTCACTTAGATGACATTGTAATGTCAGATAATTGAATTCTACCGAACGGCAAACAAAACGACCCTAATTATTGAACAAAACAAAATTCATCAGTCAGTCAGTCAGTCAGTCAATCAGTAAGTCAATCAGTACCTCACTAAGACAAGCGGATAGACAGGCTTCACGATTCGATGTATAGATGATTGCATTGTCTAGGCCACGCATCATTTTATTGGGAAATCTTTCAAATGACCACAGACGATTACAAAGATTGTCGGAACGTAATTGCATTTTGGTAAAGAAATACATGTTGACAGCTTTCTGCAGTGATGTACTTGAATATGAACCACTTGGTTGCTGTTGAAGATTATTATTACCGGATACGGATACCGGTTTCTTGGCTAATGTTTCGTTCTGTAAAAGACACGTTGTCTCCTGTATTGGCGTCAATGGATTCACAACAAAACTGAATGCAGCTGCCGTACAATCATCTTCATCACGACACCATCCAAGACATTCGTAAAGGGAGACATTGCGTATTGTGTAGTAGATTGTTCCCGGATAGTCACGGTTAGTCATCTTGTCAAACGTGATTCGACCTATAAAGAACAAAACAAAATTATCATCCATTCACTGTTCTGGTTGTGTTATCATTCTCTCACTGTATATATCAATGATCATCCTCAACATGATGAATAAGTAATCGAAAATCGAAAATCAATAATCAATAATCAATACTAACCGTAAGTGAAGACGAATAAATTGGCCAAAATGATCATGATTGACAGTGAATAATAATAATTGCTTCTTTTATCATCATTCCATGTCCTCCTTCGTATGGACAGGCTCAATAATTTCATTAATATCCCATTCATTGTCATGTGAGAGATGAGAGATGCAGCAATGAATCAATTATATCTAAACAAAACGGTAAAAAGAAAAATGAATCAAGTATAGAGATCATCAATAATCAATTAAGAATGAAGAAAAAAGACAATGGTCTCTCTCTCTCTCTTAAATGAAACTAGAGCATTGTTATAAATCTAATGATGAAAAATGATTTATGATCATCGCATAATTCACATTTGTCAATTTGTCAATCACATTCTTATAGTCTGAATGTCCACTATCGAACAAAATTTTATCAAAAAAAAAAAAAAAAAAAAAATCTTTATCGACACGCATGACTTGACAACAGACAAAACGAGATGGAAAAAAATGTCATGTTCTGAATTGGTTTGCTCGATCGAATAAATGCATGTTAATGACACACACACACACATAGATAAACAGTTGGATTAACTATAGACCACCTAGCAAACAGACAGCTTATTAATCAAAAGTTGTCTTGTTTTGTTCATTGTCAAGTTAGATCAGATGATCAGACGATAATCATTCACAACAACAACATTTATAAATCAAACATTCATTCATTCATTCATTTATGCTACACATCCTCAATCAATAGAACAATAGACAAAGTTGTTGTGCATTCTATATCAATTGTGAATTGTAATTTATATCGGATTCATTTCCATCCATCCATCCATCCATCTATATCGGTGTCATTATCATTGTATCAGCATCATCATTCAATCACGATAATCATTCAATGTCCGATGCTGCTGCCAATCAATCTTTTTGTTTTGTTTTGTTTTGTTTTGATAGCGACTAATTTGTTATCCGATCAATCGTGTTGGCGGTTATATGGTGGTGGTGCTTTGGCTCGGCTCTACCCCATAATTATCATCAACAATCAATTGTTGTTTGTCGGTTGGTGTATCAAATAATAAACAACGATGGATTGATAGATATCGCGCATCCTACACACTGGAAACACCAATAAAAACTGATCAATGTTTGACAGTGAAAAAAGCAAACAGCAGCCAGATCACCCATGAAAAAGAGTGATGGATTCTAAAATTAATACTTTCGTTCATTGATCAAACAAGATGGTTCTTTTAGAATTGGGAATTGATATGCACATCATTCTTTATATCATTCTGCAAGAGCACTCGATTTTCAACACATAAAAATCGTGAGAGATTGGAACCTTGACCTAATGTCAATGTGATGAGTCTAGTGAGAAAAAAATCGATTATCAAAGTAAAGTAACCAAAATTGATTTTCTTACAATCAGATCGGATTGTCATTTGGTGAATAAATTGAATTTCAAAATCACAAATGTCAGCTTCTGTTCTGTCATCAACATTGAATATCAAATTGGAATAATAAAAATCTCCCATTCCGATTGTTCTAGTTTTTCACTTTTGGAGACAATAAAAACAGCTCTTAACCCATCAAAAGTTTGCTTGTTACGCTTTGGTGGACAACATTGGTGGTAATAAAAATTCGTAAGCACAAAAAACGATTTAAATCAAGCGAAACATTTTCACAACCATCAACATGGATGGACGGATAAGTCAGCGCTTTGGAAAAGATTATTGCATTTTCCTCGATCAATGGTGGCGCAGAAGAAAATTGTTTAATCGATTCCATCCAAGAGAGATGGGAATCGACAATCGAAAATGGTGATTTTATGACCATTTGCCAGCTATTATGGAATATTATCTCTCAAATACGAATGATCGAATCACGAAATCGAATAAATAACATCAACATCAACACAAATTGGTGGCTGTATCTCTTTTTTAACGATTAATGACTATTTAATCGACAAGGCTTGCTGTATCCAATGCTACTGTACATCTCTACACATCGTATGAATCGATGATTAGATTTAGATGATGATTTGATGGATGATAATGATGAATGAATGAATGAATGAATGAATAAATGATGATGATGATGATCAAATTAAATTATCGATGTCTTGTTTTATATATATCATGATAATCAATCAAAATAGTTACCCTAATTACGACGTGTGTGTATGGCAAATTATTCAACCACAAAACGATTATTGATTTTTATTGATTATATGATGAGCATGAGATTAAAACATTTCAAGATGGCAAAACATAAAATTTCAATGTCAAGGTCAAAAAATAGATGAATAAAACAAAATAGAATCACAATCATCAACAACCAGAAACACAGAGGAAATAAGAAAATTCAAACAAACATGGCAAACACACAGGAACATGAACACGATCTGGAAATGTAAGAAAAATCATTCTGATATATCAGGCAGACACTTTCGCTCTGGCTTTTTATACGAACCAACATTCTGGTCAAAACTGATTGTGTGTGTGTGTGTGTGCTCGATACTCTCTCGATACGCTAAAAGTAAGGTCAACCATTAAGTTTGTGCGAGTGTTCAGAATAACGGTTCCTGTTACCCTGTTACTTATTCCTTTAAGGAACTGGTAAAGAGAGAAAAACAATTCAGACAGACAGACAGAGAGAGAAACAGATAAAGCAAACAGGTATCAAAAAGAGATGGTAGCTAGCCCAAAATTGTCCATTGTTTTCTGTATATTGGGTGATATTCACCTATTCCGATCATCATCATAATAAAAAAAAGTAGGAGGTCATTCGGCGTCATTCTATCTCTCTTAGTACTGCTAGATAGTGAACAATAAAAATGGTAATCATGACATATAACAATGATGATGATATACCATGATTCAAGTCAGTCAGTCAGTCACTGAGTCACTGTATTTCTCTCTCTATCTGTCTTCTCTGCGAGTTATATTCCATTGTCTGTTACCGTTATCGTTTCTTTCAAGTCAGAGGGTAGCAAAATGGTGTCTCTCTTTTTCCTTGCTTTGGAATCAAAATACGTGGATTCGGTTCGTTTTTAGGTGTCATAAAAAATCTAATGACTGATGATGATATGAACGAATTTTGTTCGCCTCACTGTTTCGGGCACCGGTTTTCATCCATCGCATCCTTGAATCGAATCGAATGTCATGTGTAGTATGCATCCGTGTTTGTCCAAATCTATCCATCCATACCGAGCGGCCACAACCTTGGTGTGTTTTTCATTGTTTAAAATTTTTTTACATCCATCTTCACCATTAATCGTATTCGATGGATACGATTCATCTGGAGCAATGTGCATATTGTGTATATATTGTGTTCATTCTTTTCCTTATTCATTCATTCCAACTATTCATTTTATACTGCTCTTGCTTGCTTCACATTTGAATGCACAGAAAACAAGTAAAAAATGCAAAAAAAAAAAAAATCTAAACACAAGATATCTTTGAACAAGCCAACGGAATGTGATTTGATGGGCTAGCAACATTGATGCGTAATACACACATAACATTCTTTGGCCATAATAAATAAAATACAGCGAGAAGGGGGTAATGAAAATGATGGTCCAATGCAAAAGTAGAGTGATTTTTCTTTGCCTGATTGGCTGACTATGATCATTATTATTTCATTCATTCATTCATTCAAACAAACAAACAATCATCTAGCTAATGAACTAACCAACGATCGAACTGACCGAGATTGCCATGCCAATGTCTATGGTTAGATCAGTATAATGATACTGTTAATGTTGTCCAATTTATGTCTCTCTTTTCCAACCGGAAAATTTCTAGAGCTAAAAGATTCTGATTCAAGAATTTTTCTGTTATCCGGATGTAAAATTCAAGTCCAGATTTATAATGAGTAAGCGAATAGAAAGACAAAAAACATGCTCATTCATTAAGAACAAACAACTAAATCTTAGAGAAGCAGAAAACAAACACAAGACACAGAGACAAATTATCAAGTCAGTGACGGTGACACAATATGTACCACCACCGTTATAATCATCATCATAAGAATGACATGTCATCATTAAACATTTCATTTCATAATAATAATCATGGCCATTGTTTGAATAAAACAAGTTGACTTGAGACTACTTGGACAATAATTATGTTGTTTTGGTTGGTCAGTTGGTCGGTTTCATAAACAATAAATAAATAAATGAATGGATGGATGGATGGATGAATGGATGGCACCATTTTTTCACAATGACACACACACACACACATGAAAGGGGTTGACATTAACTCATAATCTTTGTATGTTTATCATGTTCAAGATATAATCATGAAATAATGGGCAATCAGACATAAAGACGGTAAATAATCATTTCTTGATTCCTTGGACAATCATCGTCGTCTTTTAGGTCAACTCCAATACAGTCAAGAGTGGATAAACTACTTTTCATTTTTCAATGAATGGTTCATTGCTTGATTGTGATTGGTGAGAAGAAAAGAAACCAAAATAATTAATTAACAAGTGAACCAACAAGGTAGGCAGAAAGGCAGAAAGGCTAAATCCAATTTTCATTCTTCAACAATCGATTTGTCATTGAACGAAAATCTGGCATATTCTCCCAGCAGCAGCAACAATGATAATGTTTAGCAATGCCAACATTGTAAATGAGAAAACTGGACTAATCGAATCCATTGAGAAAGATTTGTTTTGTCTGTCTGATGGTCAATGGTTGATCCAATCCAAGGGAAGGGGTTTTTGAATAATGAATGATGTTTGCAGTTTTCGCTGCTGACCTTTGTTCTTTCGTACACTTGCGTGCTATTAAAACTCATCCATTCATCTACAAGGAGTGCCTTTCATTCATGTAGCCCAAATGATTTCGAGTTGGCTGGCCCGATTTTCACAATCTTTGTTATGTAATGCTTGTATTTATGTGTGTGTGTGTGTGTGTGTGTGTGTGTGTGTATGCGGGCAATCAGTCTTCAATTCAATCATGATAATAAAATTCAAAATCCAATAATAATAACATGCCAATGAATCAACAACCAACCATTTAATGTTGTTGTTGTTTGGCGAATTAGAGCATTTTTTTTTGCTACAAAATTGTCTTATCTCATGTTGTTGATTTTATACGTTATTCAATTTGATTATGATCAGCATGTTTTTGTTTTCAATTAACACCTATATCCATAAGCATTCATTCATTCTTTCATCATCATCATCATCATAAT